CTGCACGCACGCCGCCTCTACGTGCGCGCTGCCGAGCTCGCCGCGCGGTAACGCACACGCTCCAACACCGCCGCCGCCGCCACCTGGTGAAAGACCCGACGCGGAAGATCTTCCACGAAGATCATGGTCCACCATAAACCGCATTCACTGAACAAACCATGGCAGATGCGGATATCTGATGCGCAAATAGAAGATAAAAAAAAATCTCCAGTTTGCGACTGTGGTTATCCAGTACAGACCGTATAACGTATAACGACGTAGTGCCCGATCCACAAATACGAAGGAGACATCACAGCGATACTCTCCGCTACTCCTGGCGCGGTTGTCTTGCTTGACCACCTGAATGTGAAATTGTAGTTGTTGCGATGCATCTACATCAGCCATATGAAAGAAGACGACCACCGCCACCATTTGCCAGTCTGAGATGCGCACTGCATTATCTTTAGTCTTCCCTTCTTATTTACACCTCTGCCCAATGGCAGGTCTTTGTCTCACACTCCCTCCATCCAATTCGATCTTGCGCCTTTGCTGTTACGAGCAGAGAGGAGCGGTGGAACATTGGTTATCGTACTGCGCTAGGAATCCATCAACTGGGGTTCGATTGCTGGGCTTGGTGAGTAAAATCTGAACCCGGTGGTTCTGGACTGCCAACCCTTCACCAATTGACCAGTGGGGTGAAGTATTGTAAAACAACTCCCACAACCAAGACAGCATGCTGAGGCCTTTATCCAAGAGTGTATATTATTGAAAAAAAAAAAAAACTTAATTAATGATACAACAGTGCTTAGAGTAGGCATTCAACGATTGAACAGGATACATGCATGTAAACCATATGCAAATGTTATATGTAAGCTAATATAACAAATTATAGAAGACTAAACTAGATAATGGGATAATTAATTTCATTGAAGGCAATTAAGGTTGGGAGTGAACCACTCCATCCCTAGTCAGGACCATATGGCTTACATGGACAAATCACTAACACCACTATAAGCATTGTCATTAAATGTATACATTTATCCCACTTTTTATTCCTGCAATTTTCCTTTGCAAGAGGTGTTATCTTTATTGTCTCTTGCCCAGGTAAAGGAAGATGAAACACAAACATTATTACCTTGCCGATATTTACTTAGGGTGTACATTATGGGCTGTCAATTTGAGTTTAAAGTTTTATATCTATTATAAGATGAGATATTTATGTTTTTGTTGTCTTTAGTGTTTAACTAGAGATGTCTATCGATGTGGCTGTCCGTCTTGACCTAAACATTGGGAAAACTAAACTAGACACTGAAATTGAAAATTCTGGAAATGAAAGGCCATCATTCACATTTTTACTTAAAAATAAATAATAATCTAAAACAAATCTAAAAGAAATTCATATCACATTTGCAAATCCAAATTTGTATACTGTACATGATTCCTATATTGGAAATGTAATTGCTAATGTCGTTTTAAAAATGCAATGTAACAAGTAACTCAAAGCAACGAGCTGTCACTGCTGATATGCGGAATGTAAATGGATGTGTACGCGACTGACACCTGCTTCTCAAGAACTTCCTGAACTTTATGACTAACTTCTTTCTAAAAGTATACCCACTGTTTGCTACATCGTGTATAACATATAGTGCATTTCTGACACTGTGCGGGGTCTCCATGTTGTAGCATTTTGACATATCAATCCAAATTGTAATGTCAAAATCTAAGACTGACATTCGAAAGTCGTTTTGTAATTGAAGTTGAGTGACCTCCAGCTGCCACTGTGTGGCGAACAGGGTGGCAGATTCCATGGATGTGGCACGTGTGGCTCGGGAAACCGACTGCCTCCCTACGTACATCAGCAAAGGCATCGCAATGGCTGCGTTCTACTACGGACGCTGTCTGGAGTTGGGCCAGGGTGTGGCACGCGACGCGGTGCGGGCTCGGCACTACTATTCCAAGGTCTTTTTAAATCCTTTATATTAAGTTCGCTTGCTTGCGTGCTTGCTTGCTTAGGACCGTGCAAATCATTCGGTCGTGTTTTAACCCACTTCCCGTGATCCAATCGAGCTGACATTTTCCACACAGACTCGTTGTGCCAGACAATTATTGTTCGTGAAAAAAAATTCCCAAAATTTTACACTTTTTAGGCAAAAAATTTGTATTTTACATATATTCAAATAGAACGCATTCATGGCTTTGGCTGAACATCACAGTGCAAGAGCCCAGAGCGTAACCACTCCACAGGCCGTGGTGGAGTAGCGCAGTTGGTAGCGCCCTCGCTTCCCATGCCAAAGGTCGCGGGATCGATCCCCGTGTCCTCCACAGGCGAATATATTTTTAAATCCTTTATATTAAGTTCGCTGCCACGCATATAAAGGATTTATAGTGAAAAACTTTGTTTTTACGGGTTATACTTATTCAGATCCCAAGACACACCTGTACGCGTGTGTTGTCTCTCTCTTGCAAGTGATGCCACAAAATCCCAGATGTCCACTTTGTGGCAGGTGGATACTTTTCGGCAACTTTTTGACCTAAAACATATGATGCCTTAATTGTCAGTACCAAAATATGAGAATAGGTTTTCCCCTTTTTTCTGGCAAAACAGATGTTAAGATGTTAAAACACCAAACTGAAACTTTTTACAAGGAATCATGTGTGCATTAACCACAATACTTGTGGTCAGAATGCAACAAAAAAATACTCTAATAGTATATGCATTGTCTTTGATACTGATTGATCCACACCAGAGACAGCTTTCTTTCGAGACAGCTTTGGCTGTTCGCCTTTTGGCGTCCTCTGGTCGAACAGTTTGAGACTAGGCTCGAAAGCTGTCTCTGGTGTCGACCAATCAGTTTCAAAGACAATGCATATACTATCAAAGTATGTTTTTTTGTTTGCATTCTGAGCACAAGTATTGTGGTTAATGCACACATGATTCGTTGTAAAAGGTTTCAGTTTGGCGTTTTAGCATCTTAACACCTGTTTTGTTGCCAGAAAAAGGGGAAAACCTATTCACTTGTATACCGAGGCTTTCACTTGAGATCGGAACATCCTGATGATGCTCGGTGTAAACCTTGATGCTGTTGAAGCAGCAAAACATTTGATTCACGTAACACTTTTATTTTAATCTCACTCATACTTGTTTTCAGCGGTATTTACGAATGATTTAAATTTTAAAATGTGAAGCCACTTTTCTGTAAACATTTTCACATTTTAGGTAATTTGAGCACTTTAGCTGAATAGTAGGCAAGTACAGCTAAAAATGTAAGTTTGTGAAACTCCGAAACCTGGGACGTTTTTTGCCAATATCAAAGTATGAAAAAATAAAAAAGGGTGAAACCTATTCTTATGTTTTCATACTCCCAAACCTGTTGTTTTGTGATGTGGCCAGGTGGTGGCAGTACAGCACTAAAAACAATTCCGACGTATTGAAAGTGTTGCAAAACCCTTTTGGGCTGACATCAGTACAGTACCAGTGTTCCTCTTAATGCAAACCATTTTGACAATGCAAATTCCCTCTTGTTTGGTTGAATTGCAGGCCTTCCAGTTTGACCCAGACATCACCGAGGAGTTTCAACTCAAAGTGACACACGGGGAGTTGTGAGTCTGCGGAGATCGCCCCACCTGCATCTATCTGGTCACACGTATGATCCTTTTCCTAATTAAGCGTCTGAATGCATCACAAGATGTGCACTATGTTAAATTATTTATGTGCATTTTCAGGTATTAGAGTTGACCGTGAAGCACTTTTATACAGCAAAATTACCTCAAGACATTACAAATAGTACACAGTCCTGTCGAGTGTCTATGGAACCAAACTTTAACATTACCAAAGATGGTGTGGTTGTCCATCAATGTACATTTTACCTACTCCGAATGGATCAGCATCTCAAGCTTGAGATCCTGACATCTTCACTCAGGGTCGGGTGGCATAAAGCTACTTACCTTATGCTATCCGTAAATCTACATAGGAAATTACGTAAACGTATTTCTTGGTTTCCTCCATAAATGAAGGGAAATTATGACTCGATAGATTTTCATTGTGGAACACTGATCTATTTTAAGTTGGTTTTGACAGAGGACAGTTAACTTGGTAAAAGCAGGACAAGTCTTATCCACAAATGAGCAGCCAGTGACAAGGCACCAATACTGGCTTTCAACGCCAATGCAAAGCAGTGGAATGCTAGGCAGACATCTCAATGCCTAATTGGCCTTGATGGTGGACACTTTCGAACACTTGGACAAGCTGATTGGGAAACCTGGGAATCAAAACACCCATGTTTTTAGGGATGCTGCCACCTGTCAATTGGCATATTTGTGGCGAGTTCTCTATATATTCCAATTTCTTTTAAGACCTATGGGCCCATGTGGCCAAATGGAGCACGGTGGTGAGATGTTAACTACCTCACCTGGTAATGTGTCTTGTTCTACCCCCAACCCCGACACTTGCTGTATATTCATTTGCATGTTCTCCCCGTGGTCATGGATTTTTCTCCGCGTCTTTCAGTTTCCCCCCCCCCCCACATTTTTGAAGTGTTGAGTATTTGGCTGCTATACATTTTCACATAAGCCACTTCATGGACTATCATTTGTGGCCAGGTTGCTTCTGAAAAATAAAATGTTGTAATACCCCAAAAAACTGGTTCCCAACCTGTGGTCATTAAAGGCCATATCCCACAAAACTCTTGCAGATGGGATATTTTTTCACAAAACGCCCTCGTTTTACCGATGTTACAAGTGTTTTTTGGAGGTATGGTGGTCTGCAGGTCAGGACAGATTGGCAGCCACTGCTCTATAAACCTATTGTGCTCAAATGGAGGCCCTTCCACGAGATGCACATCTACAACTATGGACATGGACCCAGATGCAGTGTCAAAGCCACATCAGCTCCACACAGGTGTCGTGTCAGGTTCCTTTATTACGATTCCAAGATAAGATTCAACAGCCACATTCTCCCCCCCTCACTCAGTCATAAATAAAAGTTGTTTAAACAATTGTGCACAGACACAGAAAAACTTAACCGTGGTCCAACAAATATTTTATTTCTCCTTTTTGTTGCACTTTTCCTCTTACAAAAATGTACAGACCGGCTGGCTCAAATGGCAACATTTGCAGACAGACAGCTGGCGACAGTGGAGAAGGCGGTGTGGAATGGTAATACATTTTACATGCAAATCTCAGACATTTAGACAAAGTCGGTCCCTTGAATGTGTAGTACACCAGTTGCATCATCGCATTGTTACTGGAATGAACGTCTGTCCTCCCTGCCACCGTCGCCGACATTTAGAAAGAAAACATCACCGTAAACCGAAATGTTGGAAAGCAAATCTGAACCATCGCACTTGTCAAGCATGTCCAAAAAAATTATCCCAAGCCAAATCCACGTTTCAATTTCTGATTCATCACTGTCATTCTTTTAAACTCATTTGGTGTTGCCCGCACACCGCTCACAAGGTGGGCACAACAGCTGTGACCAACAGCGGGAATACAGACGCAGCCTGTCCCGCGCGCAGAAAGCACAATGGAACCACCTTCACAAAACAGGCAAGGGCAACAACCCAAAAACCATCGTCACAAGATGGGGAATTCCACGCACAATGAACCAGCCAGTGCAACTGAAATGGACACGGAATAGAAGTTTGCAGGAGCAAAGAGCTTATCAATTGTGTTTCATGTCCCTCTTAAGTTTTATTGTTTTGAAAATGTGGAACGGAGAGGGGCGCAAACAAAAACCTATCATCCTTTCGACAGAAAAAAATAAAGAGCGGTTTTGGCTATAGTTAACCTTTTCGGCGCTGCCGGCCGCATGAAACAGAGCAGGGTAGCAGCGCAGAGCAGCCACGCTCGCGGTCGCTTAGATGACGTTCTTGATTTCGTCATAGAGGACCAGCACGAATGCACCACCCATACCGCGCAGCACGTTGGACCATGCGCCCTTGAAGAAGGCGCGAGTGCCCTCCTGGCGAGCGATCTTCCTCCAGCAGTCGATGGTTCCCGTGTACATGATGTCAGCTGCACGACAGGTAATCGTTTGTTTAATTAAAGCATTGCGACAACTCGTACATTTTTGGCTGACCGTTACTTAATGTTTGAATCTCCAAGCAATAGACAGACTATTGGGCAGTGGGCAAATTTGAAATATCCGTCCCCTGAGAAAATAAGTCCCATATCCTTGATAACGACACAATTATCAAGTGCAATCATACCACCAGTGTATTGAACTGGTATTGTGGTTATGCTGCGGATATGCACGTGCATGCAGCACAATTGCTTCAATTATCACAAGCCTAACATTGACCCTCTACGAAAGCGAATGCCCGATGAGAACAATGAGCCACCCATCATGGTAAATGCATGACAATCCGTGAAACGTCACTGCTGGCTCTTACTGTAAGCCAAGTAACCCATAATCAAGTAATCTGTTTTTTTACAAACATACATTAATAAATTCCATTCCAGAGTGCTGCGGCTAACACATACGTTGCACATGTGCAAACCAGCCCCCAACCTCCAACAATGGAGGTAACCCACCTGCTTTGCGGCCGGACTGCATCATCATGCGCCGACGCACAGTGTCGAAGGGGTAGGAGGCAAAGCCAGAGACAGCTGTTACTGTCTGGGCGATCATCCAGCTCACCACGATGGGGGTGTTCTTGGGGTCTGGCAACATGCCTGCACACACCGGCAGACACAAAAACAATGTTTTTAAAGAGGCATTCAATTGAGTGCAGTGTGTTGGGGGGGGGGGGTCATGATTACTGGTTGCAAGGTCTACTTGGCTATGCCCAAGACAGCTACCAGCATTACATATCAAATGTGTATTGATGAGACTCCTAGTTTCACTGTGCGGTGACATAACTAACGACAAGTGCAGTAACTGCTGTGATTAACTGCATTATCTGTGCCGTAACTATTGGTTGTGGCGAGTTCCGATGTAATGGTCACTGCATAAGCTTACACATCTAATAAATGGACTAACTGCATCGTGGTTAACTGCAGTCTCTTACAGGAACTGGTTACTGGCCATAGTACAGTGAAATTGTCACTTTCCATAAGTGCCATCAACAACACCGACTACTAATCCCAGTAATCACTGCAACATACAGAGTCTGCAGGTCATGCTGGGGATGGGTGAGCAAGCATGCACGCACCCTTGGCCGTGTCGTAGATGCCAAAGTAGGCGGCGCGGTAGATGATGATGCCCTGCACGGACACATTGAAGCCCTGGTAGAGCCCCCGGAAGCCGTCCGACTTGAAGATCTTGGTGAGGCAGTCGCCCAGGCCCGTGAACTCGCGCTGCGCGTTGCCCTTGCCCACATCGGCGCCCAAACGCGTCCTGGCGAAGTCGAGGGGGTACACGAAGCACAGCGACGTGGCGCCTGCAGCGCCGCCCGACGCCAGGTTGCCAGCGAAGTAGCGCCAGAACTGCTTGTGCTTGTCAACGCCACCCAGGAAGACCTGCTTGTACTTGTCCTTGAAGGCGAAGTTGAGCGCCTGGGTCGGGAAGTAGCGGATCACGTTGGCCAGGTTGCCGCGCCAGAAGGACACGAAGCCCTGCTCTCGGGGGATGCGCACCACGCAGTCGATGATGCCCTTGTACTGCTGGTCCACGGCAATCTGCTTGCTGGCATGTTGCACCTGTGGGAGAGAGGGGAGGGCAATGGAGATCGCATCAATCACCGCGCAAAATCGAGATGCAGTTTGCATTTAGATGCTACAGAAAAATATACGTTTAACCAATCGGCTACATAGACGACCCAATTATCTCGTCAAGGAGCATAAACGATCACTCGAACTCCCGTCATCCTCGCAGCAGCTTTTGGCTCGCCGTGGAGCAAAGATGGCCACTTCATCGCGTACTTTGAAATGAGCTTCTGCGGCCATCTGGAATGATTTTGCGATAGATTGAAAACGTATTTCTTTAGATCCGCTTTGTGTTTATAGTTTGTCCTTCCCTCGCACCTCCAATTACCACGGTTGGCTACGTACGGTGCGCGAAAATTCAACGTGTGCTGGCAGAATGCGTCTGAATTTGTGCCTAGGCTTTCTAGCAAGTGTTGAATTATGCAGCTCATCACTAATATACTGACGGGTAAGAATTGACTATGCATTGAATCCAGTATTAAACGTGGCTGGGCCCTTCCTAGCTTGCCTTAGCATGAAACGAGCACCCAGTAAAATATATTACACATCTTGTCTTCGTTATCCCGCGTGAATAGCTAGAAAATTGCGCCCCCTAACGAGGCGTTAAATATCGCTGTGGTTTTGACGGACGTCATTGCAAGGACGCAGCAACGCACCCCACCCCATCGTCTTTTATTCGGTGGGAAAGCCGGTTCCGTCTCTCGACTCTGAATGAATGGCTTCAGGCGAAGGGGTGCTTGCTGGTGGAATCGGCACGGAACGAGGAATTCAGAGGCGTGTGCTCCTTTGCCTCCGGGGGGGAAATGAAAAGAACCTCACAAGAATCCTTATATGGGCAGAGGACGTTCTGGAACGCCAGGAAATGTGCCGACTTGTATTTGTCAGATTCATCAGACGAGAATCGGTGAAAGATTTGTTAATTGGGATGTGCTGATAAATCAACGGAACGATTGCGGAGATACGGACCTTTGTTCACCAGACCAAAGGTTGGTATTTAAAAACGCAGTATTAATCTTATGTACGATGCGTCGAGAAGTTATGATGCCGGTTTAATAAAACACCTTCACTTAAGAGCTCAAACAGATGTCTAACCCTTTGTTAAAGCAGGCTTAATGTGCTCAACTGTAGCACTAAATATATCGCTTAAGCGTAATCTATGATAAACCAGATCAGAAATACAGGGTTCAACTTTCAACCTTGACGAAGTCTACGCGACCCTTGTCCGCTCAGCTTCTATGAATGTGATCCTCACCGGCAAGGTCAGCTCGTTCAATTATTAATTGCAACGCCGTTCGCAATAGCGAAACCAGCTACAGCAGCCAACAAGGGACATTTGGCTTTGAATGAATTATGCGTGAGGGCTTTACGCAGCTCTAATGCGGGAAGATTAAACCCATTGGCGGCAGGTCATTGCGAGCGCGAATTCATGCGTGGAATCATTTAATAATTGACGTTTGCTCAACAGAGGGTCTTTTAATTCATGAAACAAAGCTACGTCCAATGATTCCGTGGTTATACAGAGGCGCGAATCTGCGAGCTTTAATTAAGACATGCAGCGTGAAAAGCGGCTATAATTATAGCATCCAACTTTAACAATTTTAAACTCAATATCCCGGATAAACGAATTAAATCGGTAATAGGAACTAGATACTACAAACAATTCCCCGATGCCCGCCCTAATACTAAGTTAGTAAAACCCATTAATGTCCGTCCTAATAATTACCCTCATTACAGGGCGTTCAAATTCATCTCTAACCCATCCCCCACTCTTCATCCCGAGCCATTGTAAAGCTCCTCGACAGTACAGCCACGCAGAGAATCGACAGGATACATGCAAGATGTACATCAAGTGTATGGAGGTGTATTGATGTTAAATACGAGAGCCAGCGGTATCGTTGGGCCCTCAAAGTGGCTCCCCGCTCAGCTGCTGCCTCCTGACATGTCACTTTCTCTCCATTTCGGACCACCACTTTAAGCCTCCACTTCCCTCCGCTTATGAATGCCCCCAATGGCCAAAAAATACCGCAATGCCCTCTATTCTCACCACACTTTAGAGTTTAGACGAACCAACTGTGTCTCGCCTACCCACCCATCCTGTGTAATACTCTATGTAGACATCTCACTGCGTGTGTAAATACAATGGCGTATATACGTTGTACAATTAATGCGATGATCCCATAACTGCATTGCATGTGTACCATACATTAGACGATTAAAGACACTAGTGGCTGGTTTTAAAATTGGACCAGAGTAGCATCGATCATGCTATATACGGTTGGCAAAGGCCAACATAGGCAGGGTCATGTTAAGGTTATTTTATTTCCCAAGTAGGGGGTCGATAATTATATTTAATAAAATGAAGTCATTTGCAGGCATTTTTTTCGATTTTTAATATTTTGGACTATAACGCCGACACACAAAGACCTCCTGTTGCGAATAACGCCACGGAGCATTTATAGCGTCCACCGCAACACACGGCGCGTATATTATCGATTAATAGACGCATCATTATCATTAACCGGGGCGGCAGCTGGGCAATGAAACCACCTCCAGCGGAAATTGGGGGGCGGGGGGGGGTTGAACGACGGTTTAAAACACAAAATGTCGGTGGTGCCGGCCAATTGTACTCCGTGGAAATTAAACGTACAACGGGGCGACCTTACAAGTCAAGGGAGTTGGGGGGGGGGAAAGCCGACGTCGTTCCCGACGACAGGAACAGGAGGACGGAGCCGGCGGCCGCACGGGGTCACCTCTAAGCCGCCATCTTAGCGAGGCTGCTCCCCCCCCCCTGCCCCTGAGGCCGCCGCGTATGCGACGAGAGCCGGCTCCGTGTGCCTCCCCCCCTTCCCTCAGTCTCACAGAGATAAAGCGTCAATAGCTGTGCCCCGCACGACTATCGATAACCCCCCTCCACCACCACCACCACCCCGGTGCTACTGCGAGATACGGTACCTGCAGCAGAAGCTTCACTCGCTCAATGGGCGCCACCGCCGTCTTGGAAATCGCAGCGGCGATTCCGCCCGCGAGAAAATCCTTGGCAAAATTGATCGCTTGTTCCGTCATGGTTTCTCTTTAGTTTCTTTTTTTTTTAAGACTTTTACTTTTTTGTTAACAGTTGGGATTTTCGTGGTTAAGACTCTTTGTTAGGTTGATGTTGCTCGAGTCTTGAGACGTTCTGCCTCGCCTTGTCGGACGAAATGGCCGACGCGGAGTGCACGGAGCTTATATATACCCGCTGAAATCTCGCGAGAATACGACCGTCAGATCTCGCCGTATCCCATTGGTCGACGCGCGCGCGCGTGACTTCGAGTTACGTAACCCGCGCGGAGGTGGGGGGGACCGGGAGCTGACGGGATTTGTAGCGCTCTGATTGGCGGGCAGCGTTCGTTGCGGTGAATGGGGGCAGGGGGTGGGGGTGAAAAGGGGGGTGTGACGTCTTCACTGCAGGATCTGCGTCTTGTTGAGGGACTGGAAGGGGAGGGGGGGATTTTTTTGTGTCACGTGCATGCCGAGATGGGTGACGTCACTACTGCAGCAGCATGCGGGGGGGGGAAGGGGGCGTGTACCGAAGTCGTGACGTCATTAATAAAGGGGCGTGTACAAAAATATGTTTTTACCCAAAAGACAATTTAAGTTTTAAAATAAAGTTGCGGATAATTTTACACATTTGACGTGCCTTGTGACAAACGTGGTACGTGATTTGCGTTTATTCAACTGCAAACTCTATTGCTGTAGGTTGTGTATTTTTTTGGAACCCACGTTATAGTGCCTCCCACCTGGTTAAAGGGCAATCATTAATATATCATCTATCAATATATAATCTATCAATCACAGCTTACTGCTTTTGGCGCGTAATTGTTATTACGTCATAGCAAGAGGCGTGGGTTTCCTCCTTCCGCCGCGGATTGGCCGGCAGAATGTGACGTAGGCGTGTCAGTAATGTAATCTCTGCGCGCTGATTGGTCGACTGGCGTTAACCTTGCACGTGGCGCGGGAAGGTGAGCGCGGGAACACGTGGAGCCCATGCCGAAGGTCACTTCGCGATGTCTGTGACCTTTGTAGGAATCTCCAGCACATGCCTTGCTGCAATTAAGGCAGGGAACATAATTCGTTGTGTCGAATCGTGAGTGGCGGATTAGATAACGGTCTCATGCAAATTGTGAATTGGCTCACAGAAAAACGCGATTTCATTGAAACTTAGCAAACGATTGATCGATTCTTGACATTCACTGATTCGAGCGTGAAAAAAATATCGATGACTATTTACTCGTGCAAATTATCACAGAAGGCTCATGGAACCAAGGAGACTGTAAAACCATGGCTTTCTCGAATCGTAAGTCACGAATCTCGCGGAATAAAATCATTATTGTACCCAGCAAAAAAAAAACCCTCCACTAAGAATCTGCAAAAGGTGCTTGGTGTCACTGCTCAATGCTGTCATTGTGGATATTAGGTTACCCCCAGCTGTATATACAAGTCCCCCTTATTAACCCACCGGGCCGGGTGCATGTTCGCCGATGAGTGCCCGCCGCTGTACAGTGGCGTTTGCCCTTGAGGGTGCGGCGCCGTGCGTCATGACCCCCCCCATCCCGCCTCCAGGGCGTCGCTCGCAATTGGCTCGCAGGCGCCGCCGGGTTTTTGGCGCAGCTACCCGGGCAGACGTCCCCTTCCATCCGGCCGACCGGCCGCTGGGAGCGCGACGTCCACGTGGTGCTGTGGTGCCATCGCCGCACGGCGTGGCCGCTCTCCAGCACCGAGGCAGAACTCACCCACCCACTCACCACCCCACACACCTCCTCCGCCACCGGTGTGGCTTTAATGTCTCGCTGAGAACAGCGTCCTCCGGGGTCCATGACATACACTTGGAAGCCGCAAGCATAGCAGAGAGTATACTTGATGTGGTGTGCCGGTTTCTGAAATATTTACTGGGTCGATTTTTTTATTATAAAGAGTTGATTTATTTCGGCAGGAAGGGCCCTATGAGCTGCTAGGCTCTATTTCATGGATGTTCTGCGATGGTGATCGTCACGTAACTAGTATCTACATCCGTAGCGAGTGGTATACTAGACGTGGTGTGCCGGGTGCGGACACGTTTTTTTTTGGGGGGGGGGGGGTCACCAACCGGTGACGGACATCGCTCATAATATTTAACAATCTTAAAGAGTAGGCGCGTCCTCTGAAATGCAGGGCTTGGGAGACAAGGGCCGATGAATGGCAGCAGATACAACAATTTGTTCAACTCCGGGGGACGCTTTGGGATGTGAGTTGGGAATATGGCAGTATTGCAGGTGGGTTCCTGAACCTATGTCGACCTTTGGATTTTCTCCGGATGCGGTACTCCGGGTTCCTCCGACACGAAGAGCACTCGATTTAAATGTGAACTGCCCAAAACTGACCTCCTGGAAAAAGACTTAAGTCTCTTCCGGATAAATGTCAATAAACTGCTGGATGAGTAGCCTCCTCGTGCCTCTGTGGGTTGTGGGGGTCATTTGACCCTTCGCCACGCTGGGCAGTGCGGGTTGGTGAAGGTAGGGAGCACAGACGCGGAAGCAAAGAAGTGTAGTACAACTCTTGCATGATCTTCACTTTCCGTGTCAGTTCTCGGGAGCTCGGCTAAGGAAAATTGAGCCTGGTTCGTGCTCGGATGGGGGTACGCAATGCACACACCAGTTGCGGGGAGATGGATACAGGGCGACTTTAATATTCGTGGTAATTCCCGGCAACCCCGTGCCATTGGTACCAGCGTGAGAGCTGGTAATGCCCACGCAAACTAATCCCCGATTGAACTTGTAACCCCAAAGCCTCGTTAAACGTTGCCATGCTGGTGCCGTTTTCAAGGGAAAACCCGCTGGCATCTCCCAGATCTTGAAAAAGAAGAGTGTCAGTGGATTGTCACCATCATCACGGTCCATGGGCAGATAGTCCGTAGTTGTCCACTGCACGTTTCGTCATTTCCACTTTCCTCTGTCTTGTGCCAATATGCTCAAGTAGTGCCACATCTTTCTGGCACCAATATCTTCCGCCATCAAGCCATTCTCTGTCAGGTCTTCCTCTCTATCACCTATTTATCGAGGATGAATAAATCAATTAAAACGATTCCCCTTGCTCTGTATTATGATAAATTTGCCTTAATAATGGTGCTTCAGACCCAACCCCACATGGTAAAAGCTCAACCCATGGATGATTATGCCTTGGCTGTGCCCATAGATGCCCGATAAGAATTTGTAAACTCTTTAGAGGTTCAATCTTGATTTGAAGCTTTCATGACTGCAGGAATCCATACCATTTGGTTCTTTCGGTAAAGTCACGTAGGTAGAAAAATTAAATAAAAAATAATATATCACGGCGTTTCGATCGCAACACAAGCGGTCATCCTCAGGCGGAAAAAAAATAATCCAGCTGTAGAACTGCTGGATTATTGGAACTGATTATTAGTGGAACTGCTGGATTATTTTTATTTAGAGGTTGCTTAGTTAGACGCTCCACGACAACACTCCAGTGATATCACTGCATTGATGCCTGTCATCTAATATCGAATCGCCTGACCCATAACATTTAAAGCATTCTTGTTGTTCCCCTTAACTAAGCTTCGTGCGAGAGTGTTAGCACAATTTGTTTATAATAATTTACACCGCCCTTCACGTGGAGGCCCTTCCACGGGCATGTTGGTAGATTTCCCCATACTTCATCACCACGCTGGTCAGCGAGGGATTTGTTGGTGATGCAGTGCCTCCGTTCCGGTTCAGATGCCACTCACCACGGAATTGAACTCTGGTGGCCGGGTTCGTTGCCTAGTGCGCTAACCATTCCGCCACCGCTCCCTTCCCCCCCCTGAGTGTAAGATACGTGTGTTTGTGTATTTGCTTTGGGGGTTGAGTGTCGTGGCGAGAGCCGACTGCGCTTGTCCTGGCAACGAGGACATTCAAACTGCTGGGGCCTCACCGTGGCAACGGCACAGGGCCCACAGCTAAGAGTGACGACGACTCATAACTACGACAAGAAACAACGCGAACTTCCTTCTTTCGCACCGTACGTAGCACACAGCAAACATCACTCAACACGTCAAGCGTGCGCACACAGATGAACAATCTCACAGCACGTCGAGCGTGAGCACTAATGCACCGTGTGTTGAACTTCTTTCGCACCGTACGTAGCACGGAGCCCACAAAAAACACGGTGGACATCTCTCAAAAACGGAACCCACGGTGAACATCTCACAGATTCATCCGTCAGGCGGTGTGGGACTTCTGAAGCAATGTGGGTTTTTTTTTATTCTCCACCCAGCCAAGTGCTGTATCATCATTCTTGCTTCGGCAAGAAAACTCTGGGCCACACGTTTTGTCTTTCCTCGTCTCATCAGCAGAGTCAAGAGGCCCGTTACAACGAAACGCTGCCGGTCTGCAAAGACCGGCGGCGAGAGAGGACGCCGATCCCAGTTGGGCCACCGATTACTGAAAAGCGTCACACGACAGAGGTGAATGTCGAGTCTGAAGTTCGTTTCGGTGAATGATTAAACTCTGGACGCAATGTGCTACCCCCCCCTCTCTCTCCCCATCACGAATGCGAGAACACTCTGATCCTGGACTGCTCGTGGGCCATGCGGGGGAGTGCTCGAGGGAGGTGAGCGCTAATCGTCGCAAAGGTTACGCGTGTAGGTTACTGACCACACGTAAAAATGGCAAAGGTAGAATGAGGGGTTGTTAGGGTGTTTTATCACAGAGAGCAAGTGGAGAGCTCCGATTTCCGCACGGTTGGCAATGTGCGGTACGAAACAAGTTCAACATTCGTACATACAAGACCGAGAGGTATAGTTATGGGTTGGTTGGTGTTAATATTCTCAAAGGATAATTGTAGGTTAGAGATACTGTTAAGGGTAATATTAAGGTTAGAGTACAGGTTAGTGTTTATTGTCAAAATTATTAAGTGTAAGCTATAGTTATCCTTATGGGTATAAAGAATGATCAAGGTTAGAATGAGGGTGAGGTAGAGGTTGGTGTTAACTGTTAAAAGTTGTGTGTTAGAGTAAGTTTAGGGCTAAGTGTATGGTTAATGGTAAGTGTGGATTAGGTGTATGTGTAGGATGAGGGTTAAGTGTTCACTTAGTGTTATGGTTTCAGTGTAGGATTGTCATTAAAATGTAAGGTTAGGATTAAGCATACGGAAATTGCTAAATGTTGGTTAAATGTAGGGAAGGTGTTACGTGTAGGGTTATTGGTATATTATAGTTTAGGGCAGCACAAGCCAGCATTGAACAGGACTATAGCGGTAAGGTATTTACAGAACTTGCATACACCACGACGACCAAAGTCTCTCTCTGTACCCTCAGCACCGTTCCGGTAATATTCACGTACAAGTGCCGGCTGCTGGGGTAACTATCCGTGCCATTCGCATTCGCTCCGGCTCTATTTGCACCAGGCAGGCTCAGTCGAGAGTGAGCCGGAGAGTTTCTCCTGCATGACCCCGCGACACACTGCCCTGATGAACCCGCTGCACACTGAACCCTATACCAGCAGCAGGGACCCGCTACACAGGCTGCGGTGACATAACCACTCAGCCGGCTCAATCTGTGTTGTCAGGGCAGCAGAAATCACTCCACTGCAGCAGACCTTCTGAACATGACGAAACCTGTACTGGTTAAGCAAAACCGATTTGATGTCCTTGTGCATATATAAAAAACACATTGACAGTCTTCTTGTAAATCCAATGCTGGATGTCGGCCACAGGGGTTGTTTTACCATAATTCATTCGCGACTGAGGTTAACCATGAACGGGAATTCGTGAAATTCGACTTATGGCTCTGTGAGCGAACCAATGTGTTACTGCACCAGGGGCTTCCATGTATAGCCAGGTTACATCTTTATTTCTCAGTTGCAAACTACGGTAATCTCCACCTCAGAGGTATTTTTAGAAACGCTTTGGCCAAAAAGGTTGAGCTTAATTATTTGCATTAGGTCATGTCAGAAGGGCGAGTGATAAAATAATGAGCACAGGTGCAGTGCAAATGGTTCCCAAGAGACGAGACCTACATTCTGATCCTCCCATTAAGAACAATGCCACTTAGCAGAATTACACAACCTTGAGTCAGTTAAGTATCTGTTACAGCAAGGTGCGAGGCTATTAAGTTACTTCTGAGAATGTATCTGTTTTATGAAGTTTGACGATTATGCTGGCTCAGGACTATGGTGCACGTTCAAAATCACACTCCAGAAATACACGTATGTTGCTGGTGATACTGAAAACTATCACAATATACTTCATACATGATGGCCTGATAACAGAGGCTAGGGTCATTGCTGTTAGCGAACACCTATTAAGGCTAGCATGGTCAATAGAGGGTTAGAGTGGCCAATATCTCGTCCGGCCACCTTTTTCTCCCCAGTGCTGATGGTTATACCCCACACCATGTACTCATTTAAGGCTGAATCCACCTCGGAGAGATTCAGGACTGGTTCAGATGTTCACCACTGATGTTAGATACAGCCAGGAATGAAACTCACATGGCCGGGTTCATCGCACCACACCACCGCTCCCCTCATCCACACAAATATGTGTGCACACTAGTGTGACAGTGTCCTTGTCAGTGCCCCTACCCTCTGTGACACCAACACTACCAAACAAGCCATGCCCTTCAGCACCCACACACGCCTGTCACACTTGGCTTGGACGCTTCTAGTCATGCGAGTTTTACCATTTAACACCATAAATGGTTTTTTTTCTGTTGCTTCCTTGACAATGACAACCCACCCATTTTAATTGCTGTCGCTTGTACATTTTGTATTCCGCGATGTGGTCATTCGGAAGTGTAAGCCAACACGAGATGGCGTTTGACCCTTGAGCCAAGTAAAACAATAAAAAGTCTCCACTCTTCAAAATCTCTCATGTCATCCATGGGTACTTGCATTGTCAAAATAAAAGACGACAGTACCTTCAGTCTCAAAATGTGACGGCATCAGACGCAGTTTGGCGTAGCTTTGGAATGCGCAGGTAGTGCGACTGGATTGCCTTCGTATCCCCCTTGCACTAAGGGACCATGCCAACTACACACTGAGCTAATGACATTAATTAAACAGGCCGCGTACACTGGGGGGGGGGGGGCTTGCCACTCTGTGCTGCCCCGACGCCTGTGCTCTCGCAAAGCAGCCTGTGCAGACGCACACCGCATTTGAATCCAGCTACAATGAATGACAAGCACACAGCGACACACAGCCTCCTGGAATACTTGCTTCAGCCCATGTCGCGTAAACGCATCAGTGCAGTGCTTCATTCCACCCAGAATAGTCTGGGGTTCTGTTCCGGATAAAGTATATTGGCACACCATATCCAATCTCACGTTATTGTGTCCTTCATGATACCGATGTGGTGTGTGGTAGTGTGGCAATTTGTTTGGCATGAATTGTGCTTAGGGTTACCAGATGTCTTGAAGGGCAGAACTTTAAATTATGCCACGATAATATAGTATTATGGATGTGTACCTTATATTCTCGTGGTAGTGCTTATTGCAAGGCAGCCTAGCAGCACTTCAGATTATAACAAGTGAGAAATTCAGCCGCGTGTATAACCCATTAAATATTTCATGCACTTTTGAGGGTGACATTCAGGTGTGGATCCGGGTTTGTACTAATACTGAACAGTGTGAAAATACGCTGTATTCCATTTGCATGAACGTGCCCTCAAAATGCTAATTATAATTAAATGTAAAGGGCGTTTTTAACACGTAGGCTTTCGCGACCAATATCATCCATAAGAGGTTTTTGGGTTAGATCGTGTAAATATATAAATGTGTCGTTAAAACCCGCCACCACCCAACACAGCCAACTAGTAAAGGTTGTCACGTAAACAGAACGTGGCCAATTCGTCACCAGTACAGCACTAACCGGTGTGTGGTCAACACATCTACGCCTCTATATAAGGAATGAAACAGGTGGACTTTTCCACAAATCTGGCTGTCGCCTGATGAAGCTAGTTGTAATTATTGGCGAAACGTCGTACTCAGTTTGTAAATGTTGTGGCTTGGCTCTCGAACACACCGGTGTGCTGTACTAGTATAAATGTAAAGTGCATTTTAAACGAGTAATGCGCTACGTGCTTGGGCTACAGGGTGAGAACCTTTGGTCTAAGTGACGACCGCATATGAACATTTTACTACCCGCAGTGCTTTTTAACACAAGGCCCGTGTGCACGTACACAGTGCAGTGCAGGCAGTCTCATGAAAAAAAAAATCACCACGAGTTTTCAATTACAGAGGCTGGCGGCGTGAGGAGGGGGGTGGGACTGGGTCAGCTGCGCTGTTTTTTTTCCCTCTGGAGAGCACGCGGGCACAGCGTGAGTGAGCTACGAGGACGGCGACGACGCATCTCTCGCCATTCACCATTGCGTCTGCATCAGCAGGGCTAATGGTGGGGGCAGAGAGGGCTCATAGGGAACCCACCCGTTAATAACGTGTTGTTCTCGTAACGCATTAGCTGTCCACTCCACCCTTCTGTAACGTGGGGAGACGATAACTCTTATAAAGAGGATTCTATATGAGAAAAAAACTTTTATGCAAAGTTGTGTTGCTCTTTATGATCTTGCATTACAGAAGTGGCCAAATTTGATTCAAGTGCTGCCCAAAACGTTAAGACAACCAGCACTAAAAAGATTCGCCTTTGGAGTTGAGGAGGAACGTGCGCCTTCCCTTGCAGATGATGTGCGACGTCACCTCGCGACATCACAGGTCGTGCAGTGTGACCATCTCGTTCAGCTTCAAAAGTTATGTACCATGTTGCTAAAAAACTAAACTACATCGGGCAAACTGATATTCAAGTGTTTCAGAAACCATGCATATGCATGACTTTTCTTCCTTCTTTGAACTGCATTAGCCCGAGGCATGCAATGATTCAGCAATGCATCAATTACCGTCAACTCTCGCAATACATGCATCAAATCCTTCATGATATATGCAGCAACAATCCTCCTAAGGACCACTGCCCTAAATTTTTGCTCTTTACACTCTAATTACGAATCATTGAGTGCCACAGCCCAACTTACATATGGTTTGCAGGCAGATTGAAGTTGAGAATTAAGTGGGGTTAAGTGTGTGCGATAGATCAACTCCATGACTGGTTTCAATGGGCAAATGCCCAGTTTTCCTAGTGGCCCAGTCCAACTCCTGAGTACCAGTTCAGTAACACTTTGGTTTATTCATAAGAATATTTTCTCCCTGTGAGCACATTCTAAATTGAATAGTCAACAAGAGAACCTCTGCTTGTGACATTGGCTGTGATTTTGTTGGAAGCCATGGGTTTGGCCCCAGCAGCAGAGCACAAAAGGCTTTTCACACAGGAAGGGGCTTGCGGACTAAAACAAATGCCTGGTGCACTGGGTGTGTGGGTATTTGTGGTTTGATTAAAATTTTTACGTTTGAAGTTATAACGCTTTATTTGTGAATGCTATCCAGCGGAATACTTTTTAAAATTTCCAAAGAAACTAACCCTTAGTGACAACTTGCGGCAAAAATCACAGTAGAACTATTTTTGAAATACTGTTTCATACATTTGGATATTATATTTAAGGCTTTAAAAAAAGACCACCGTGCACAAAACTTCAACACAACACTTCTTTTCCAAAAATCTAAGTGCATTGCGCTCACACAAATTTAGAGTCAAAAGTGACATCAGCTGAATGAGCCCATAGTCATACAATAAACTTTACTTTCCCCCACTTCCCAAAATTACACTCCCTAACCATCTCATCTCACAACAATTTTTTGAAGCACAGTGAGATCCGAGTGACTACTCTTCAACAGTTGCACATACAATGAATGAGACAGTCCTTGAGGCTCATTAAAATTTTCCACAGTTGGTAAACTTCATTTAAATGCAAGACGTTAATGCTCGATTCATACAAAAGCAGCAATGCTAGAGTACGTTCAGAGTATTCAAGCCATCGCTTTCACCAGACACAGAACAAACCCAGGCTCAGAGCAGAGGTCAGTTGAGCCAGGGAGGCACAGCATTGACTTTACGTCGCGAAACCTCATCGCACAGTCTCGCAGATTTTATGGCAATGTATAATCAACCTACATTCAAGTACAGAACGTTAACTCGACGCTAAAAGAAAAGCTCTCTTTGGCAAAAAATATGTAGGAGCTTCTAACTTATTAAAAATTTGACTTGAACAAATACAAATCTTGCCCATGGTATCAAACTTAGCGGCTGCGGCACCATTATTGGAATGGGAACAGCGGCAATTACCACCACTAACCCATGAATGCAACACAAGAAACTCCACACATTATTTTTATCGGCAGTGCGAGCCAAGCAAGGCTGCGTCTAAACACGTCTCAATAGTGGGGACGTGGAGGCACCATCAGAGAGCCCGGCTCACATCCGCCACGACCCTACCGGTTGTCCTGACAACTCAAAACAGGCACCCTCGGGGTGGAGAGAGCAGTGGGGACGGCCGTGTAGATAACAACGGGGGTCAGGAGGAGATGGGCGGTCACAGTCCGTTGTAGGCGGGGCCTCCGCTGCCCTCGGGCACCACCCAGTTGATGTTCTGGCTCGGGTCCTTGATGTCGCACGTCTTGCAGTGCACGCAGTTCTGAGCGTTGATCTGCAGCCGCATGCCCTCGCCGCTGTCGTTGGGGACGAACTCGTAAACGCCTGCAGGAGGAACAAGCACGCGCATTCGCTCACTCAGCGCCATGCACAGTGATGTCTGAAGTTTTTCTCTCCACGTGATGGAGCTTCAGGAAGTGAATTCAACAGGTGGAGCAAAATGTACGTTTATGAATGCATCTGTGCATATGTATATGTACAATTGTACATCTGCATGCATGCATGTGTGTGAATAGTGCAGCGGTTAAGAGGTACTGCAGCATATAGCGCATTATACTAACATCAGTGACAAATATCTGAACCGATACTGGGTCTCCCCTCAGGTCAATTCAGCCTTATATACGAGTAGCTACTGCCGTGTATAAACATCAGCGCTGGAGAGATGAAAGGCAGCCGAGCGTGTTGTTGGCCACCCACCCCCTCGTGTGTCGTGCCGACACTTAATGGGTGCTCACTAAAAGCACTAGCCCCAACTGTATGCTAAGGCTGTACAGGAGATCATTAGTCTTTTTTACATTGAGCATACCTACACAGACACATACGCAAGGATTGCACCTTTTACATCTGCCCGCCTATGTCCCTCGAGCCGTGTCCCCTCCCCAGGTACCTGCAGGGCAGAAGCGCTGCTCAGGGCCGTCGTAGAGCGCCAGGTTGCGCTGCACGGGCACGCTGTCGTCGGCGAGCGTGAGGTGCGCCGGCTGGTCACCCTCGTGGTTAGTGCCACTTAGCGCCACCGAGGAGAGCAGGTCAAAGCTGATCTTGCCATCTGGCCGTGGGTACTCGATGGGCGTGCAGTCCTTGGCAAGCTTGAGTGATGACGAGTCAGCACCTGGGAGAGGGGAGTGATGGTGCAATTGGGTACAAGCACGTGTATGAGCAAAATTTGCACACGCAGCCAGCATTGGACCGCAGACCCACATACACAACAGCAGAATCATACACACACCAGCAGAATCATATACATGAGCAGAATTACATAGACACAAGTAGAATCACATGCGCACCAACAGACCCGCATACACACCAGCAGACTCACACATACGCATGCAGCAAATACCAGCAGCAGAAATACCGACAGTAGTGGGTTAAAATTGGTGCATTTGGAGTCACAATTCAAAACCTATGGATGAAGAGGGGGAGAGGTGCAACTGTATGTGTAGTTGAGTGTGGATAGGGAGGCTACCTCAGCACACGATAACAAAGGACTCTTTATTAACACGATCGAAAAAGTAACTTGCAGCGCCACACCTAAAAACCATCCTTCAGGGAAAGAACTTTGATCCGATCTCTGACTCCCGAGAACAGGTTCGCAGGTTTGCTGAGCATTTCTGTGACGTCTTGGGGGAGGGGAAACCCAACAGCTCAAAAACCATCATAGGGCAATATGGGGTTGACCCTGCTGGGTGCTGCTGCACCTCAAATATTGGAGGAAGGAGTCGCTCCTTGTGAGTGGTTGGCTGATGTGTCATCTGTTGAGGAAGTGCGTAGGGTGATTCGGAGCTTGAAACCAGGTAAAGCGAAAGGGAGACATGACCTCCCAAGCGAACTGCTGAGGGAGGGTGGCGTTTCTGTGTAGACTGCCATATTTGACATAATTAAAACTGTCTCGTCCACAAGATGGGTTCCGCAGGATTGGGAGGATGCCCTAGTGGTCCCAATTTTTAAAAAGGGGGATTACAATGATTGCAACAACTACTGGGGTATGTCCCTTCTCTTTGTGCCGGGAAAGGTACTGTCAACATCACCTTGCCATACATGCCAAGAAGCTTGCAAAGCCCCAATGTGGTTTTAGACCAGGGCAGTCCTGCATGGAAGCCGTTTTCTCTGTCCATATGCTACAGCAGAGGGGGTACAGCAGGGATGCTCTTTGGCCCCAATACTTTAACATCGTCTTTTACCATGTAGTTCGAGAAGCTTCGCATGGATGTACCGATGGAATTTCCGTCTAGTATAGATACAATTAGAGGCTGATCGATGCCTGGGTGCGGACAAGGGATGGCTCCCTATTCGTCAACCATATGTATGCGGATGATCAGGTGATTGCTGCCCACCGAGGAGTTGGAGATACTACTGCTGAACCTGAAGCATGCTGCTAAGAGATGGGGCCTTACCATCAGATGGGCTCTTAGGTGATGAAATGCTGCCCTTCCTCAACTCTCAACGAGTGATGGGGCAGTTATGGAGAGAGTGGAGAAGTTTCCATACTTGAATAGTGTTCCTTATGACCAGCTCCGGTTTAGCAGCCAAGGTCTCACTCCGAATCAGTCGAGCTGCATTATCTTTTCATCAGCTGCTTAATGCTGTGTGGAAGCTACCTGGCCTGTCACGCTATATAAATCACGCTATATAAAGCTCCGGGTCTTCTCAGCCATAGTTATGCCCTCCCTTCTCTATGCTTGTGAAATGTGGAGCCCTCTAAAGAAAAATCTGTCAGTTAGAAACATTCAGACTTGTCTACCTACAGTCCATCCTGGGTTTAACCAGACTGGATTGTGGGAGGAGTTCATAGTTCCTTAAAAGATCTTGACACAGTCCCATCAGTGAGCTCCTCTGGCAAGCGAGACTGGGTTTCGCTGGGTCATGTAACCCACATGCCCAGACACCGCATGCCCAAGCAGCTTCTGTTCGGCTGGATAGATGGGGCTAAACGTGCGTGGAAAAGGCTAAAAGAAAGATATTAACTCATGTGGTACAGAAGGATGGTGAAGTTGATTGGACTTGCCGATGACTGGTACCAACAGTGTCAAGATCGGCCTCTGTGAAGGAGGTTCGTGAACGACGCTGCTGGGGAGTTGGAGGCTGTCGCCCTCCAGCAACAGCGGAGGGCAGAGAAATGACGTTCACAACAATGAGCGGAGCACCGAGCGACTAAAACGCCAGTCATCTCAGTCAGTCAACCCATGGTACCTGGGTATGTTCCGTGACATCCTGCCAGCGGGCCTTCGACACTTCACATGGCATGGCAAAAGCGCCGTGGTAATGTCACTGCCACGTATTAATGAACGGCGGTTGTTACTGGATAGAGAGGGTGGGGGCAGGGTGGTCCATTCGTTAACAGATTGAAGCATCCATTGCCTTTTTATTTAATCACTGCAGAATGAACCTCTGTCAATGTGGACAGTGAAAACACTCACTGTTGTATTTTCAAACTAGGAAATGATGTGGAATGTGCCGAGGCAGCTGTATCCAACTCTACTGATGCAGGGAGATAATGGTGAGGACGTGGGAAGGGTAGTGATGTCTTATGAGGGTGGCAGAGGTGGCACCGGGTATCTGTGTACAAGCAAAGGGCATGACTTGTGCACAAACCAGTCATGATCAGCAGTCATTAAATTGTTACCGACTTCGTACCGTATCAAAGGGTGTCCGCACCTCTAAATGTAGGACAGAAACGCAGATGTCTAGTAAGGTATTCACACATAGGCAAAGGAACCCGTACTTTAGCTTCCCAGAATTATTTAACCCGGGTCCTGCCCTCCTTAAATATCAGCCAGTGTAGCATGTCATCTGCACTACAAGCAATGCCGTCTGTAGTGATACCAGCACGTAGACTCCAAAGAAACGCTGGCTGCTGCAGAAACATCAGCAGCCTGCACCGCACAACATTCTGCCCTGGGGCTTCAAACGTTGTTGCACACCCCATACAAAACGAATCCTGTTCTACCACCTCTCTGCTCATGGGAAGTAAAGTGGCAGTGCCCTAATTTTACACGAAGATACAACCAAGTCATGGGGCATCTTTGTCAGCAATGGTATTATGCGGCTGTGTGCAGAGAAGGGCAGGATGGGCCGGTCACCTTTGTGCTTGAGCGTCCAGGGCTCCTTTCCACGCAGCATCCAGTAGAAGATGCCCGTGTAGATCATGCCGCCATAGAGGCCGAGCACCGAGTGGCACGATGGGCGGATGTTGCGCACGGTGTAGAGCTCCTTCCACATCCAGGACGAGTGCAGCGCCTCCTCGTATTCGGGCACGTGCAGGCCTGATGTGGCGCACGGGAGTGGACGTTATTCAGAACGTGTCCACACGGCCGTGACTGTCTGGTGTTTTTGTAGGCGTTGTTAGTACCGTGCTCGCCTCCCTGTGCGCTTGAGAGCCTCGGAAAGATGGCCTGCGCGGCCAGAATGCCGCTGTACATGGCCGTGTGTGTTCCCTTGATCTTAGGCACGTTCATGAAGCCTGGGCTGCAGCCGATGAGCAACCCGCCTGGGAAGGTCAGCTGGGGGATCGACTGTGCGTGCACAACGCACATACACACAGGGCACAGATTCTCACACACACAATACCAATACCCGCCATTCGCCACTAAGTGACAGTGACATCACCACGGCGCCTGTACCAGGCTAGGTGCACCCTGAGGCCACGTGAAGTGTCGAAGGCTCGCTGGCAGGTCAAGGGACAGACTGAGGTGCCATGGGTTGGCTAACTGGGATGACTGAAGGATGCACCAGCTGTAGCCCCCCCCCTCCTATGCCAACACACACAGTGTATATACACATACACACAGCATATGCACATACAATTAATTATCACTACAGTACACATACACAGTGCAAACCCACAGTACACACACGCACATGTAGATCAGAACACTAGTTTGCACATCACAACCTGCTAAATAATAATGCATTCCTATAACTTCAATGGCAACAGGGGTTGTAAGTTAGGCCAGAATATAATTGGTTTAGGGGCTATCGTTAAGGTCAAATGTCAGGTCACACGTTAAGAATACTCATTTCACAGTCCTTAACAATGATTTGTTCACGTGTTGTGGAAGGTTTCATAAAAAATAAAATCTGAATGAAACTTGTGCAACTTCTTTTCAGTAAAAGAGCACAGCACACAGCAGGTGAATTAACAAAGCTGGTTTGTCTGTAAAGCCAATTGGCAGCAGGGACTGTGCCAGTCATCTCGATACAAGCGTCAGCCTTATCTTGCACCGGCTTCACCGCTTTGTACAAAACAACCCAGTGACTGCCGTGCTTCACGTTTTTCATTTCCTTGTGTTTGGGTGGCTTCAGCTGATGGGGGTGTCAGGCGATGGCCATGGTGGTGGGCTCGTGCGTCGGGGAAACTGGGCCAGTAGTGCCCGGTCGGAGCCGGTCAGGGGCGGAAAGCGCCCGCTGAGTACAACCCGCAGCCTTACGCCCGCTACGCGAAGGGCGTGGATTTTTTTAAGCTTCGCACTACAATGTGTGACCTCAAGACTCGCCTATGCCAAGATAACGTAAGGAAATGTAACTTTTACAAGAGACATTTTTAATACGTCCATAATGAATGGAAGATTGTGCAAAAAAAGTCCCGGTTAGAACAGCTCTATAGATGGATCATTGTAAATATTTCACCTATCACTTGACACACAGACTATACCACTTTTTATGACATTAAATTCGTCAAATAGAACAATGTGTTATTTTACAACATCCTTCATGAAATGTAGGCTTGACATATGTTCTCACTTCTTTCAGAATTAGTTTTTTTTATTTGTTTTAACCAAACACTTAACAGGATCTAGTTTGACTGGGACACCTCCAGTTGATCAGAGGTCAATGAGAATCCACTCACAATAGATGCTGTGAGCGGATTTATTCCAGTTAATTGTATTCATACTGCAGGCTCAAAAGCAGACATATCTACAATGAGCTCATCTGGATATGGTAATAACTGTGTTGCTGGGAGTTATACAAATAAAAATGAAAACTGTGTCAAAACGGTGACACCATGTTCCAAGATTTTATCAAGATGGTCTAAAGCTAAAAATCAAGTCTGTGCTGATAAGATCAGCCATGGTTGTGGTTGTGCGGGTTGGATGTGGCACGACTGATCTCCTCACAACGTCGCAATCACGAGGCATTTGATAACGCGTCAGCACGATATACTGAGAGGGCATTTCCATTCATGATAAATCGGCCAAAAAAAACCTACGCACAGGGCAGTTCTTTGAAAATGGGATAGTGACTGCTGAAGTTTCTGGGTCACCTTCAGCATATAGCAGTGTCTAAACTGGTGTAAGATGAATGTTACGCCAACGTGCACCTTCACACCAAGTCGGTGGGTGCCTGAAAGCAGTGGTCTGATCGTGCAGAAACTCGCCAGAACTCATCTGCCCAGACTGAGTTACATAACTGAGGAACGGAGTTGAAAGATATCTTGGATGATACTGAAAAAATGCATGCGACCGAAGACCATCCCCGAGCTGTACGACTGAAAAACATACAATTCAGCATTACGTAGACTATATCCGCCAAAATACGTGGTTTTCTCTAGGTGCGATACAGGACATGTATAGTTTAATCTCAAGAGAAACTTCACTTTACGAAGGAAGGAAAAGAACAAAAAAAATTATCTTTGATACCTAAAAGCAGGAGTTCTGAATTTGGGGTCCTTGGACTCGAGGGTCATATGCCTATCATGAAGCCCTGGAAACACAGGGCTTCATAGAGTTAAAGTATGGAACGACATGAGAGGCTGACTCGTCTGTGTTAAGGGGTCCATGGAAAAACATCATATATACTCCAGTGAATAGACACTGTGGATCAGTCCACCTGTATCTATCAATGAAGAAAAACACTACTGTTCACTGGTGCCAGGCATAGCAGGATTGTATATGTACAGCCATTTGTCATTCCACTGCTGGATGTGGGCTTCCCCTCGGCAGCCGCCTTCTGCTCCTGACCAGCTCCGACCGCCGGGCACTACAGGCCCGGTTTCCCCGATGCACGACCCCACCACCACGGCCATCGCCTGACACACCCATCAGCCTAAGCCACCCAAACACATGAACTGCGCCGAGGTGGAACTGAAAGGTTGAGCATCAGATAAAAGGATGGCAACCCCTTATGCCTTTAGAGCACGTGCCGGGGCAATGGTATGAACCTATGCGTAAGTCTGTTCAACCCGATAGATATACAGTTCACACCCACACACACTGGGTGAGTCATCAGACAGGTGAGGAGCGCTGCAGCTCTGTGTACGCCCACCCCCCACCTCTCCTCCTGTGCCGGACTTCTCAGCGGCAGAAATGCGGTTTTGCCTGTCAAACCGGTCGCCACCCAATGGATACAGCTGCTTGGGAATGCTCGCTGGTCTTGTGTTCACAAAGTGTGGGGATCCCCAGCTGGGAATGTTAGGGTTCTGTCTGGCACGTGAGACGGTCACTTTCCTACATATGTATATTGCGTATTACATCTAGGAAATTAGAGATCTCGGTGTTCAGTCCCCAAAATGACCTGAGCCTCCACTGCATCTGGTAAACCCCAGCTAAAACAGTATGTTGTCATCATTATCGTAACATCAGTAAAAGCAACATAACTCATTTTGATGAAAATGAACGGTTGAGTTTAAATTATGAATTCTGCACCAATAATCTTGTAGAACTCTTCGCGGCCATTTTCAGCGCTTGGGCATTGCCATTGACAACGTGCTGACAACATTTAAACTCAAGTAATTTCACCCGAGTCAAAATCAGAGCTTGACAGATGAAGGGACGGACTGATTAATGACTTGTCACAACCCCAGTGCGTTTTGACATTCCTCACCCTAAACCTGACTCACTTTCCCGAGTAAAAGAACCCAGTGCCCGCGCCCACTCGACGTGCCCGCCGGCGCCCGTACCTGCACACCGCCCTCGTTGAGAGCACGAGCGCCGTACGCGATGCGCTTGCCGCCCTCCAGCGTCGGCTGCACGCTTGGGTGATGCTTGAAGCGCTGGAACTCGCGGAATGGGTTGAGGTACGGATTCTGGTAGTCCAGCCCCACCTAGTGGGCAAAGAAGAGAAAAGTAGCCGCTCGTTTAGTGATGCAGTAGACACACAGAATGAGGAGCAGAGGCCAATACAAAAGTTTTAGAACTGGAACAATAATTACTTCATGTAGGAAGGGGGACTATTCAGTCTCAAGACTCCTTCTCAGGAGATTCCAGCTGTCTGAATAAATAACATTCTGGGAATTGAAAATCAAGGTGTCATCATGGCCAAAGACATTGATGCCATCACACCTCAGCAACGCTTTTTACCATCCTCCTGATCCCGCACAGGCTGCACAGCAGACACGCGGTCTCCAAGCCCGGCCCAAAAAGTACCCCATCTTCTGGTCTTAGGTCTTCCCTGTGGTCGCTTGACTCGCGGTAATAATTTCAATGCCTTTCTCTGTAAATGGCCATCCTGCACACATGTCCTGCCCAGGAAAATATTATTTGCCTAATCATATTTAGCTAAGTATTTAGCCCAGTATAAATCGTGTTTATTATAAGGATGTATTACTAGTCTTTTCTTGGACAAAGACCTGGCCATTCTACAGCCACCACCTGCGGCAGTGCAATGTCAATTACTGTGCCTGGAGCTACCTGGCCCTCGAGTGGGCACAAGTGTCACGCAAGCCATGGACACCACCTGCTCCACCTATGCCGTGCACACCACCCGTCCCGTCTACCGTGTCCTGCGCGCCAGTCCATTCACCACGAATCCGAGTGCGACGAGCGGCTCGCCCTCGTTGAGGTGGTAGAGGAAGGAGCCGCCGTATGTGTGCCGGTCCAGCGGCCACCCCACTGTGTGCTCCACCAGGCCCGGGCGCCAGAGGCTCGCGTCCACCTCCCACAACTGAGCCACACAGGGTGGAGAAACGAGTATGGGGAGGGATGCACAGGAGGATTCGGCACGCAGAGGTAGGAGAAGAGGCAACACTCAAGGACTCACAAGAGCGTTAATGGCTGTGAGAGAGTGACCCTAAAAAGTTGAGTTTGGATAGGTATGCATAGGGTAATGTGAATGGCTTTGAGTAGGTGAATGTGTTGATTGTTTGCGAGCGAATGTATGTATGGGAGTGTGAATGGATGAAAATCAAGTAAATCTATATTATAAAAGCCTGATGTTCTGTTTGTCCATCAACTTAATTATAAGAGTGGACCCTCCCCACCCCCCCCCCCCCCAGATGTGGGGGGAAAAAGTTAGCCCCCGCCAAAAAAATATGTCGCCCCCGCCAAAAAAATATGTCACACCCCCCCCCAAAAAATATCTTTATTTTGTAGGCATATATGCCTATACACCCTACATACAATAGAGTCAGTAGTATCTGCACACATTGGGGGGGAGGGGGGGGAAGAGGACATCAGCAGGGGTGACGGGCGAGGCGCCGAGAAGCTCTCTCAAAATTCTAGTGATTAAAATGTTGTCCATGAGAAGCAGTTGCTATTGTAGGCAGCAGGACAGTGCAACAAGATCCATTGTTGTACTATATTTACAGTATACGCTCCTATGGCAACGCTCCCCAACTTCACTAACCCGCGCTGACTAGCGTGGTGACGTGTGGTCAAACAGCCCTCACGACCCGCACGGGTTGTGGAGGCCCTCATCCAGTAGTGGATTGACAAAGGGGCTGCAGATGTACACAAGTGGGCGAGTACAAACGAGTGTGAATGGGTGAGTGTGAATAGCTGTAAATTCACACCCTAATGGGTGTCAGAGCAATTGCACATGTGTCCGCGAATGGGTGCGAGAGAGAAGCGTGTGGGCACGTGGGAGGATGCGCACCTCCTTGAGTCCTATGGCATAGGTTTGGGCCTGGCAGTTCTCCCGCAGGTTGTAGCGCTTGTACAGCTGCTTTGCCAGGTGGCCGTGGCAGCCCTCACCGAACAGCGTCACCTTCGCATGCAGCTCCATGCCGCGCTCAAACGTCTCCTACCACCGCGCGAGATGAGAAGCTTACAGGGAAAGTCAGAGGAATCCTGACTGACCAATACACAAAACACATGCTACAGAGAGTTAAACATTAAACATATGCAGTGTTAGTTAACACTGCAATTATGTACTGTAATAGGAGAGGCAAGAGACGTGTGGGACTGTGTGAATTTTGTCAACATTTAAGTAGCTTTAGTGTAATTGACAAGAACCTGGGGAATTTAGTCAACTCATAATCCGTGGATTTCATTTAGTCATTCAAATGAAACGTGCCGGCCGAATGAATACTGGTGTGGGGTTCGGTGGCCACCGCGAGCTCGCTGCACCTTGGGCGAGCCGTCCTTGTGGATGCCCACGTCGTTGGTGGCGATGCCCTTCACGCTTCCATCCTCGTGGAACAACACCTGGCACGCGTGGAGCCGGGAGCAGAGATGCGGAGATACAGAATGCACATGCAAGCCTTCGCAATACAGCCAACCAGACACTACAGCTACCAGCAAGATTTGTATAACTCCACATGCATGTCAATAGATGGCAACTATTACAAAATAATAAACTATTAATAACACTCGATATTAATGAGACAGAATGACCTCGTCTGGTCGTCCGTCACAAGAGCTTGGGCATGACTTTGGTAACTCTCACACGCGTGCGCTTGCATGTAGGCATAAGAGCGTTTATATAGACTCCCACACAACCGTGCTACTCACAATACCAGTTTGCACCGGAGCTATACAATGTACCTGTAGTGATGCATCAGCCCAGCAGATGGGACTCTACACTATTTATGAGACAAATAACATGACATCATTTCTTAATTAGCCAGGACACGGCTGTTTTTTCACACATTTTCAATACACATCCAAAAATAACATTCACGTTTAAAATATATTATTTCCCTGTATAAAAAATTTACACCTCTTCAAGGTGCACGGACACCGCGAGTTCGTCGAACACTTTACAGCGAGTGCTGCCGGGTCTCGCCATGGCACGTTACGTCTCCGTTTTGCAGACTAAACGTCATGCTCGCACGCCGGCGCGTATTGGCACCTCGCTAGCAGCGTAGCCCGGGTAGATCTCGACGCCGAGCGACTCCGCCTGCTCCCCCAGCCACCGCACCAGGTTGCCCAGCCGCACGATGTAGTTTCCGTGGTTGTTCATGGGCAGCCCTGTCGCCCACAACAAGACCAATTGGTCGAGCACACGCACAATTGTGTTGTTGTCTAAATGGGACTGCAGCTCAAGGTAAAAAAGGACAGATTTAATTTGTTGGTAAATGGAAAAATCAGGTAGATAAGGGTATGGCGAAAAGAGTCTTTTGTGCAGACATGAAAGGGGTCAGTCACAGGATTTGTGAGCTGTGTAAACAGACTTTAGAAAAGTGAGCAGTTAATCAGCCCATCTTAACAAATGTCTGTCACTACACAAAACCAATTCATTATGAGGGCACAAAGAGTTGTGTATCCAATATGTATCATTTTGCACCTTGATATCAAGAATGTTATCGTTTTATATACTATGCATTTTAACACAATATTAATTAAAACACAGGATTTCAAGTATGTCTTCAAGAAACAAGACATGGATGATAACCAATCTGATAAAAGCAGCAGAGATGGAACTTAAGGTCTCATTCTTGCGTTCATAGCTTGCTGGTGCCCTGCTGTTATCATTCCGGTCACCACTGAAATGTTTACACCCAGGCTGTTTGCGAGCGTAATGTTGCATCTCAGTGGGCACTCACGCAGGTTTGAAAAAAGTGAACCTTTTCATTTTCCTGTCTGGGTGAAGGAACAGGATCCTGTGGGGTGGGCTGGTAGGACCGAACAATTGAATGGCTATAATAAAATGAAATGGCAAAAAATGGCCGCCAATAAGTGGATGCCCCGTGGCCCCGCCCTCCACCCGCGTAACCCCGCCCCGGCCACCCGTGGCCCCGCCCCATCTCGGTGTCCCCGCCCCCAGCTCATTGCCCCGCCCCTTACCGCCGTAACCCCGCCCCAACCCCACGTAGCCCTGCCCTCCACCTCGTGCCCACGCCCCCTGCCGCCGTTGCCCCGCCCAGCCCCGCGTAGCCCCGCCCCCTGCCGCTGTAGCCCCGCCCAGCTTGGGGAAGCTGGGGAGAGATTCCCAGGCCTGGCTCGGCTGGAGAGCCGCCGACGAGGGGGGGGTAGGGAGTTGTTTTTAATGTAAAAGCTTTAAATGTAAATGTTTCTATTAAAAAACATCAGGGAATGTAACATTGTTAAACATTAACTCCCTTTCACACACGCGGGGGTACGATAAGAAGGGAGAGTTTGAGGCCTAGGTCTAGGCTTTAGGCCTAGCTGTAGGCCTTAGGCCGCCGTGAGTTAATTGTTAATATAAATGTTTTAATTATTTATGTAAAAGCTTTAAATGTAAATGTTGCTATTTAAAAACATCAGGGAATGTAACATTGTTAAACATTAACCACCTTTCACACACGCGGGGGTACGATACGAAGGGAGAGTTTGAGGCCTAGGTCTAGGCTTTAGGCCTAGCTGTAGGCCTTAGGCCGCCGTGAGTTAATTGTTAATATAAATGTTTTCATTATTTGTGTAAAAGCTTTAAATGTAAATGTTGCTATTTAAAAACATCAGGGAATGTAACATTGTTAAACATTACCACCTTTCACACACGCGTGGGTACGATACGAAGGGAGCGTTTGAGGCCTAGGTCTAGGCTTTAGGCCTAGCTGTAGGCCTTAGGCTGCCGTGAGTTAATTGTAAATATAAATGTTTTAATTATTTATGTAAAAGCTTTAAATGTAAATGTTGCTATTTAAAAACATCAGGGAATGTAACATTGTTAAACATTAACCACCTTTCACACACGCGGGGGTACGATACGAAAGGGAGAGTTTGAGGCCTAGGTCTAGGCTTTAGGCCTAGCTGTAGGCCTTAGGCCGCCGTGAGTTAATTGTTAATATAAATGTTTTAATTATTTGTGTAAAAGCTTTAAATGTAAATGTTGCTATTTAAAAACATCAGGAAATGTAACATTGTTAAACATTAACCACCTTTCACACACGCGGGGGTACGATACGAAGGGAGAGTTTCAGGCCTAGGTCTCAGTTTTTGTAGGGTCATGCCAAGTGTTTGCAGTAGGGGGCGATGTTGCTACACGGACGGACGGACAAACGGACGGACGATATAATCTATTGGTGGCTGGTCCACTTGGTTCCTACCAGTATAAGGCTGGTGAAGTGTTAAGTCACCTGGAAGGATGGGCACTGGGATTCGGTGCTTCTTGGTGAGGATCCCGAACCTGTCCTTCGTCACAGGTGTGTGGAGCGGGGCCTGAAACAAGTAAAATCAAACCTGTGACCTGCCATGCATGAAAAGCACCGTTCACAGACACAACAGTTATGCAATGATTCACACATTCCATGAACTGTCATGATTTAGGGACATGATGCCATTCAACAATGTATTCCTTTTTGACTTTGTCGTGTAGCAGAATCGATAGTTGCTGTAAAAGATTAAATACATTTTCTGAATTTGTGAACCCATTACATGTAATATGCACAAAAGTTCAGCTGTTTCAAAGCACAATTGAACGTGCGATTCATAGCTGCAATAATAATTTTAATTGATGATTTTATGAATTGTGGTGATCTTCGCTATTACCGTACTCTCGCCAATCACGTATACATACATACATTCAGTTTGACACAAATTTGCGATTCTTTTGAAGGTGGCCAAAAAGCTACTTCACAGAGGGCCATGGCTAACCTAGTATAAATGAGTTGAGCGAAGAAAACTCCGTTTCTCAGGATCAACAAACTTTTCACAAATCAGACATGTGGCAATGGTGGTGACTAAACATTCAAAATGAAAATAATAACATAAATAAAATTCTTACATGTCTCAAACATATATGTATCAATTGTATGTGTAAGTAATGACTACTGTACTGGGGATTTTTGCACATATCAAAATTGTACACCTTTTGGTTCATAAATGAATTATACGGAAAGAGATTAAAGATGTGAAACAGATTGTGGAGACAAGTCAGACAGTACAGATGAAACTGACAGAATGATATAGCACAGATAAGACATGAAAAGGAGCCAGAAGAAGCAAGTGAGATGAGCAATATCAATGAGAGAGCGAGACAACACAAACAAGACACGGAACAAAGGAGATAACAAGAGACGGTCCAAACAACACATACAAATTCTTCAGATTCCAAGAATACACGATGAGATGTTACTATCCTTTGTGCAAGCACTTCCAAGAGTTCATGAACAATGAGCCTGGTGAAATTTGGGGAGCGTATCGTCAGTAGTGAACCTTTGGTTCCTAGGGTGTTTCGGCCTTTCATACTATACACCCTCCCCAAAGGCGGCCAGCGACAGGGTGATCAATCCTACGCTTGCGTCCCATTCCCAATTAGTCATAGGAGTTGCCTTGTTGTTGATAGCCAACATCCCATGGGACTATGCATGAATCAAATCGTCGCCACGAATCGCAACAACTCATTGAGTCACGGTCGGTGGTGGTGGTTGTGACAAATCATCAAGCCTAGCAGTCGGTGACGGTTGTGATGAATCAACACAAGCCCCAGCGGTGGTGATGATGGGGGGTGGAAGCAGCAGCGTTTTTGCTCACCCCTCTTTCCTTCCAATCGGGGAAGAGGTTCTGCAGCACGGTGGGCTCCAGACAGGCGCCGGACAGCGTGTGCGCACCCAGCTGTGCCGCCTTCTCCACCACGCACACGCGCAGCTCTGCCCCGGCCTCCGCCGCCAGCTGCTTGAGGCGGATGGCGGCCGACAGCCCCGCGGGGCCGGCACCCACGATCACCACGTCCGCCTCGTCCACAAAGCGCTCCATGTTCACGTCTGTGCGACGCACAAAAGACAAGAGAGGAAACGGGGAGAAGAGATGGTAGCGCGCACGCCAAATTTAAGTCATTACACACCACACGTACCCAATCATTGGTAGACGCCAACGAGATTTTTAACGAGCGCACTCCTGAGTTATGTAGGGCACACGTGCGTACCATATCCTCATTTGAATCGGAGTCATTTGTCATATGGAACATCAGCATGTACAGTCAATTTATCTTTCAAAAGCGATTGTTAGAACTTCAGAAGCAGACTCACGTTAGGTCACGTAAACTGTAGTTTTCAGAAAAGTTAAAAAGATAAAGGTGCAGCCCTGCCATCTCTTTCTCACACTACTGCTGATGGAAGGGCCTCCACTTGAAGTAGCTCTAAAAATCATTTATAGAGGGTATTGGCCTACTCTTCCACGCTGGCCAGACCTCTTGGTACAGGTGGGAGTACTCACCACCATACGTGATCTGCCAATCGTTTTACTGTGGTGTACCCAATCATACTGTTTTGTGTCGTTGGAAATTCACAGGAGCCTTCCAAGGTAGCGATGTTGATCGAAAAACACTCAACACTCCTGCTGTGCTTGCCACCAGAAAAAAACACTGCCGTTTCTCTACTTAGAAGACGTGTTGTCGCCTATGATGCTTAGGTATTTATTGCAATGTCGGTCGTATGGAGGAGACTCATTGGCAAGATGCTGTTTGGCCCTCTGAGTCAGACTGTATGCCAACTTATAAGATTCATGGCAAAAGTAATGTATTTTAATTATTCACCAAAGCCTTGCTTAGTATCAGAACTACATATAGAAGCATGGCCAAAAGTGATTTGCACGGTGTAGGAAATTGGAGTACAAGTGGATACAAAAGGCGGCCGAGTGGCTTGGAGGTCAGAAAACTGAGCTGGCACCGCTGAAATCGTGGGTTCAATTCCAGGCAGCTACCCATAATAAAACCAGGTTCTTACATGCAGAAAGTTGATGTTCAAAGCTCAGCCACCAATGACTGTACAAAAATACCCTCTTCTAAGTTTGTCTAAATTCCAGCTTTGAGAATTCAAAATGTTTTACGGTCATGTGACAATATCATGAGGGCACCCCTACTGATTGTATGAAGTGTGCCCTCTACTGTGTAAAGGATAGGTCACCGGATGTTTCGTTTTGGAGATGTCATGTGAAGAATCTCATATGCAGCCTTTCTCTGGCACATGGCTTCTTCATTTTATACCGTGATAGATAATGCATGAACTTGGAATTTATTTGTAAAAATAAGAAAAAAACGAGGAGATAAATAGGTCTGCTCAGATGGCTTCAAGAACCCACCTGCTGTCCTACCATCTCCAGCGGGAAATTTCACAAATCTTTGCGATCCACAAACCCTTGTCTCTATAGTTCTGATTATAGTGTGCACCACTAACAAAAGCAAGTCAACCGAGGTCACTCTACAACCAGTCAAGCGAGACCTTTAGCTCTGCCACCTGTTTGGAGCAGTCCAGCAAAGCACCCAGCACTAACTCGGGCATTCCAGAGTGCCCCTGCATGCGGGTTTATCTTGAGAAATAGTTGCAATTTGCATTCATTATTCAAGGCACTGGCAGTGGTGGTGTGAGTGCTGGTGGCGGCAGTGGTGTGAGTGGTGCCATGTGCTGCATGGTCGTTACCGGCCCATCGTGGGTCATTGTCCCGCGGGTGCACCGTGTAGTGCGTCGTTATCTTGGGCGTGACTTCTGACCCCGAAGAGAAGGAGCGGCAGGAGGCGGCGATACATGCTGGGCCCCTCTCGGCACCCCGCACGGCGGGTAGGCAGTGGCGCACTGCGGAACACGCACACGACGCAAGGTGATTACGCCAAGCTCTGTATTTACAGAACATTCCTCATGCACTGCACAAGCAGAGAACATTATGATCCAAGATGGGGCCTTCACTGGAAGACACAGAACCAAGCCGGATCTTGACGAAAAGGCACTGGAAGAAACAACCCAAATGCAGCTCGTGACAGAAAAACACAACACTGTTAGGAGGTAAGAATCATAAGTCTTATATCAGAGAATTATGTATAATATACAGAGTTAATGCATATATAGATGTATGCATTAATATAACATACATTACGATACAATTTGAAATTATGAAGCATCCAAACGCGCGTTCAAATACCACAGATAATCTCGACCCTTCATCCCTTAAGGACTGATGCTGTGGGAAGCAACATTTATTGAGCTATCGACTCTTCCCTGCCATAAGAATGACACATATCTACCACTGGCTGTATAAGATAAGCACCGCCACGCGTTTATGCAGGAAACCACTCTGACTTTGTATGCGTGCAGTGACAATCCCCTGTTGGATGAAGGCCTCTCCACAGCGTGTCTGTCGTGGAGATTGTTTGACCTTGCTTCCCCATGTCGGTCATTGTGGGTTGGTGAAATGGAAGAGCCTGAGGACCATTTCAGATGTCACTTGTCACTGATGTTCTCAATGGCTGGGAATCAAACTCAGGTGGCCACGTTTATAGCACAATGTGCTAACGACTGAGCCATTGCTTTCTCCATACTCTCGTGTTATTTAGTTACTATATAAAGTACGCATGCATATGCAGTGCAGGTACCAGACATACAGTGTAACAGGATTATTAAATTGTGCACAGCTGGTTTTAATGTCACATGGTGGCGCACACTGTCTCACGCAAAGCTGCCTCGTTCTAAAATAATCTTGCGTGTGCACACGGTGCAGCTGTCTGTGCTCCCTGCAGTCACTCCAGGATGCTGGGTTTTGACTTGGAGCATGTCCCAGTACTCGGTGACCCCATCATGTGAAATCCAGACCACGAAAGGGGCCGGGCAACTGGAAGGGCGTGGGAGAAACCGAGAATGTGGGAAGGAAAGACCTGAGTTCCCATGAGCCCTCTGGACCCCTCATCAACATCTTTGCGTGTATTTGAGAAAGGTGCTGAAAGTGTACCCGTTAATAGAACTGCAAGGGAATTACGGTAATTTGTGGCCAAGTCATTACTGTAGTTTTCCCATGCGAATAAAATGCATGATGTCGATTCATGTTCACCTGCATTCACTGTGCAATTATTTCCATTTTCTAAGATATATAAATTGCGTTCAATACAAGTTGTATCATCTTCTTCCAAGGGGTGGGAGCAGTGGCGCAGTAGTTAATGCATTTGGCTATGAACCCGGTGACCTGAGTGGTAACATCTGAACCAGTCCTGGGCCCCCACGTCACACAAACCTGCACTCAACAGCACGGTAAAGCATGCTCAAACAACCCCTATGAGCAACCCACCATGGGAGGGCCTTCATCCAGCAATGGACTGACAAAGGGCTTTACATAAACATCTTCAACTTTGAACAGCAGTACACTGCGTCTTTGAGAAGGATGCTAAGACCAAACAACACCTACAGTTTTGGCTGAGCACAAGGATGAATAATTCAAGTTTGATAACTTGTCTGCCAAAACTGCTTGTCAAACTGAACTTCCGTTCAGAGGTAAATGGAGACAGAGGCTGCTTGCGTCCTGAGGAAGGCAGGCACGTCATGGGTTTATTTACGATTTTATTTTTATCACTGGAGGCGAGCCAATTAAAGCAAATCAATGTGAGGTCTTGGTCGCCAATTCCTCAGTGTTATGAATTACCTGGGCAAAGTTGAGCTATTGATAAAGATAGGTTAAAAAAAGTGATGTGCAACAATGATATCGGTAAGCCAAAGGAAACACCTGAAAAACAAATTAAGTATGCATATCTAGAGCAAATATTGGAGGCAGACTGGATCTAAATAAATAAAGACGTTCACAAGGACAGGATGGAGTGATTTTGGAAAATTCCATTTGATAATGAAAAGCAGCATAACAATACACCTAAACATTAAACTCCTTAATCAGTGCATATCACCTGCCAAGGTGTAAGGATTTATGGACGATGGAAAATAACCTGGAACAATAGCTGAAAAGTGAGCAAAGAGGCATGGTGATAAGGGTGCCAGGAATTGCACTGAGGGGCAGACAGAGGAACACATGGATCACAGAACGAATGCAAAATAGAGGTATGATGTTCACTGTGAAAGAATATGTGCTTGGGCAGAACACATCGACATAAGCGATGATAGTAGATGGTTTGAGACTGGTGACGGAATTGCAGCCAAAGGAAATAACATTCCCAACAGGTAGACCACCACAGAGATGGAGCGCTGAGATCAGCTCATTGATATACGATGGATTGTGGTATCGCAGAGCTGTGAGGGATGGTAACATGGAAAGGCCTTCACCCAGCAGCGGATATACAGCAGTTGATTACTATTGCAATATTATTAAGTCTGACCCCTCTCAGAGCCAGTTTCTATAAAAATGTTGAGAACGTGATTTTTATGTGTCTGTGAAAATTATGTTCCACGCCAAAGACCTTGCTGTAAACACGAACCCTAAGAAGCCCCGTGGGGTTCTGGCTTGGCTGATGTCCGCAGAGCCCTGATCTGCATTCCTTACAGGGGACTGGAGGAAAGGGAGCTGTAAACATTTGCTTGGGTTGACGTAGAGGTTAAAAACAAGCCCATACACACGGGAGTGAATGCTTGTTTTCTTATATTTGTGTAATTTTCTTGAACTGTATCCTAATTGTGATATCGGTGTCATGTCATGGGATGAATAGCAGTGCAATCCCATCCTGTGTGAGGATGGCCCACAGAAGAGAATATAACAGAACTACCTCTTAAATCCATTCAAGTGACTTCTGGTGCACACTGTAGGGGGAGCAACAACTTTCCCGCATAACAATGTTTGTCGCATGACGGTCAAACCGATTGCTACATTTCAATTCCCTGTAACTTATCCAGCTTAGCCCGGAAGCATATTTAAAGTGAAGTTTTTTGTGTAACGGGTAACATGACTGATACGATCGACTCACTACAACTGAACACATTCCTGCGGAGGGAGCTGCTAGGAACGTTGGGTTGCTCGGTCAATGGCCAGGGTCAACGGCGGCGTGGTGTATTCCGCAAATATTCCCGACTGTGAGGGCGGGCACAAGCCGGCGTGAGTAGGTTAAACGTTGAGTTTTATAAGGGCACCACGGGGTGACCAGCCCCTCCCCACCCTCTTTCCACCGAGCCCCACCCTCCCCACCCAGCCCCCACCCTCCCCCCACCCAGCCCCTCCCCACCCTCCCCACCCAGCCCCTCCCCACCCAGCCCCCCCTCCCTACCCAGCCCCTCCCTGCACGACGGACGGACACAATAATCCCCTGTGGGCCGGTGTAACCAGGAGGTTCCTACCAGTATAACCCTGAATCGTAACGGTGCCAACTCAAGCGCTCTGACCTCTGAGCCACTCGGGGCCACCTCTACAGCACCAAGTCCAGAAGACAGCACAGGGGCACTTCATTGCACCGTTCATCACAACAGCAATGCACTCAATAGTGTCCCCTTTATAGAACCGCACCTCCGATGATATCACGGTTGGCTACTACGGTGCAAAAGAAGTTCAACATACAGACAACCAACTCCACACTCATCGGGTTTACATTTTGGAACATTAACATGTTTACCCGTCAAATTTAATACTTTACAAATGCATTAATTCCGACAAAACATTAAAAAAAATTAGAATAATGTTATTAAATATTTTGTGTAACTATTTTTTTTTAAAGTAAACGCTTCAAGTAGAACAGGTTAAGGCGCACGATACGGAGTTCAACAGAGCCCATCTAGAGCAAATGTTTACCTCTTCCACGATCACCTAAAGTGAAACTACTTATAAATACTGTATGTGAAGTAAGCTAGCACCTCTGAGACATTGGGTCCCATTGCAGGCGTCCACCTGTACTTAATAGTAACCATATTTAAGTGTGTAACGCAAGCAACTCAATAAAGCTTATAGACTTCTCATCTTTTCCCTTCGAAAACTGCACGTGCACCTCGTGCCACATTTAGAGTTTGGCATTCCAAAGCAAGGCAACACAATCGCTCACACGGTAACGCATTTACGCAACAATTGCGTGCAATGTAAACCCAGTGTTGACTTGTGTAAATAATTCACCACGCTTGTGTAACAGCCCACCATCAGAGCCCTACCCAAAAGCAGCCATGTCAAAGCAAACTACCGTATTCATTTGCATGTTAAGAGGTTTACAACATGAACACTACCACCGTATTGGTAATCAAGTTAACACTCAAGGATCAAGAGCGAACCTTCCTCCAATGACCTTTGCCACACATTCCCGTGCCATTCATTTGGGCCCATTGCCAGCCACACACACAAGACTCCTCAAGCAATCCCTCACTCATCAACAGCGACCCGGATTCACACACAACGCTCGCTAGCACAAATGCGTTCAATTGTAATTCATCCGTAATCAAAACTAAACTTCCAGGTGACGATAATGGACTTTAAGAGACGGCTTGCCCCGTGTGCACGTTAAGCAGCAGTGCGATGTGCGTGGTGTCAACGCTGCGGCCTCACCTGCGGGCCAACACGACACCAACTTAAACGCCATGAGCCTCCGTTGTTCACCTCCTCCACTGCTTCGACGACAACAGCAGCAGCTCGTCAATGAATCGTTGCGGAGTGTTGCGCCCTCGTCTCTCGCACTCTCACCACCACCCCCTGCGTCCTCTCTCGTGCTGCTGCTGCTGCTGTTGACGAGGACGAGGGGGGAGGAGGGGGTCCACCGCTGCGACGTTTGTCGGATTTGAAGCCTGCGCGCCGCCATCTTGGTCAAGTGCACAAGGCGAGATCGGTGGATGTTACCCAAATCTCGCCGGGGTGGTGGTGGTGTGTCCAGTGTCGGATTATCCCAGTAGCACAAGTAGCTACATATGCTAGGGGCTCCGCACTTTCAAGGGCCACCCCCCCCCCCCGCGCTAAATGCTCTCAAGCTATCAATTCCGGTTCAGTGATTCTGCACTTGCTCTATTGCTATAGTACTATGCCGCCTTCAACTTTTATGAACCACTGGGTTGTTTAAGGTTAGCGATTTGTCGTATTATCTGGTTGTGTAGTAAATGAAAAAAATAAAATCACTTTACTATGCAAGTATTTAAAAAAGATATATATTTCAGTGTTTTATTTATTTATTTAGGGCCCCTTTATAACATTGGTGTGGGGGTGCTCCCTACGCAATATGGCCGCCCGTGTAGGAGGGGCGCGCGAGTTTTGTGCGGCGTTGTTGGTGGTGGCTGTCAATCAAAGTCACACGGCGCACGCGATTGGTCAATGTCAGAACCACGCCTACACGCCTATCCCCACCCCTCCCCTCTCAACGACAGCTCTTACGGTGATTGGTCACTTGGCGAATTGGGGTTATAGTTCAAGTTCATTTATTAGGTATAGCCCTGTGAGCCATTCGGCTCTTGAATCGGGTGCAACCGCAAAAAACAAAAACATGAACAAAAAACATCTTAATGTGACTGAGTGCAAACACAAAATCCAAGAAAAAACAGCAAAATTTTGCAGAAAAAGCACCGTACACCAACGCTGTGTGCAAAAATCTCAGTGGGATGCAAGTCAAACAAAAACCACAAGACAACTTAGATTAAGGCCATCAGCCTAACTCTGTACTACAACAAACAAACATGGCCAATCAAAAAAACTTTTCGAAAATCAACAAAATAAAGCCATAAAAGCAATGAAACAGTGATCATAGGAACTGTGGCGGAATTTTCACAATAAACGACATTAACAACATGCACTACCAAAACCCTACAGCCATAGCTGGCTGCATGAGTCACTCCACAACAGCAGGAGCATCATTCGAAGTATTATAATTTTTCAATGCACCTTTAAGATCAGTACACTAAATTAAAACACAGGTCATACTTTGCAGCGATCATCTGGAGCGAAACATTTTATTTTAGGCTCATGCAGCCAGCTATGGCTGCAGGGTTTGGTGGTACATGTTGTTTATGTCGTTTATTGTAAAAAATTCGGTCACAGTTCCTATGATCACTGTTTCATTGCTTTTATGGCTTTATTTAGTTGATTTCCGAAAAGTTGTTTTGATTGGCCATGTTTGTTTGTTGTAGTACGGAGTTAGACTGATGGCCTTAATCTAAGTTGTCTTGTGGTTGTTTGTTGTTGTTTGACTTGCATCCCACTGGAATTTTTGCACATCGTGGGTGTACGGTGCTTTTTCTGCAATATTTTGCTGTCTTTTCTTGGATTTTCTGTTTGCACAAAGTCACAAAATTACTTAGTCACTTTAAGATGTTTTTTTGTTCATGTTTTAGTTTTTTGTTTGTTGCGGTTGCACCCGATTCAAGAGCCGAATGGCTCACAGGGCTATACCTAATCAATGAACTTGAAATGAACTTGAACAAGTTGTTTTTCTACAGGAGTTAAAGTTTTTTTTAACAGGCAGTCGCGTGGACACCTCTCGCGGGGTCCTCGATCAGCTGTTCCGTTTGCGCGGGAAACCCGCAATTTCGTTGCTGATCTCACTGCGCACATCTTAATCTAAGCGTCTACATCTGTACCGAGTCAGCTGGAGCGATCAAGAGCCTCCTGGAACAAAAGTAAGAGTTACTTTAGCCGTTCATACTCTTAGGTAGTTTCGGTAAAGTCACGTAGGTAAGAATAAATAATAGAAATATTATTATTCTATTATTTTTATTCGTCTAGAAATACGTTAGCGGTTGTCGCCTTTCACGTTCCACTGCTGGGCAACCACGGCCTCCCCCAGTTTCTTCTGTTCTCTTCCATAGTTCGTGGCGTCCGAACTCTGGACCGACCTTCCTTTGCCTTCACTCGGTCTCCACTTCGTAGTTAATGTCCGTCTGGCGCGGCATCTCTCTTGCAACCAAGTGGAAATAGACACACTTACGCGCTGCTCGTCATTCGAACGGTAGCAGTGTGGTCTTCATTGACATCGTGGATCCTTCTTCTTGGTTCTTTCGGCAAAGTCACGTAGAAGGGAAATAATAAAATAATACAAATAAAACATAATAAAATAAATCGAAAATTCTCACGACGTTTCGGCCACAACGCGAGCAGCCGTCCTCAGGTGAAGACCAGGTCTTGTCGGGAGGCACAGCGTCTGAAATCGTGGATCCTGTTCTGTTCCCAGCTCTGTGTTTGTCACTCTAGGAGCCGCCTTTGTTCGTAGAGACTGCTCGGGTCGCGATGTCCGGCGACCTGACCGTGCAAGACCGCGGGGACGCCGCCTCCACGCAGAGCCCCGGGGAGGAGCCGAGCGACGCTGTCGAGCTGAGAGAGGAGCTGCACTTGTACGTCGAACGGGTGCGTGCCAGCCATGGGTGGAATAAGTATAACCCGTAAAAACAAAGTTTTTCACTCTAAATCCTTTATATGCGTGGCGGCTAGAGTCCTCTCGTCCTCTGGCTTGAGATGGCTGCCACCTATGGGTCAGATGATTGTCTGCCAGTATTAAGCAATTGGTAATTAAATATTTAATTTGTTTTACCTAAAGAGTGTAACATTTTGGAAAAAAAAATTCACGAACATTAATTGTCTCGCACAACGAGTCTGTGTGCAAAAAGTCAGCTCGATTGGATCACGGGAAGTGGGTTAAAACACGACCGAAAGGTTTGCACGGTCGTAAGCAAGCAAGCACGCAAGCAAGCACGCAAGCGAACTTAATATAAAGGATTTAAAAAAGTAACCCGTAAAAACAAAGTTTTTCACTCTAAATCCTTTATATGCGTGGCGGCTAGAGTCCTCTCGTCATCTGGCTTGAGATGGCTGCCACCTATAGGTCAGATGATTGTCTGCCAGCATTAAGCAATTGGTAATGACATATTTATTTATTTCCCCCTAAACTGTGTAAAATTTTGGGAAAAAAATTTCACGAAAATTAATTGTCACGCACAACAAGTCTGTGTGGAAAATGTCAGCTCGATCGGATCACGGGAAGTGGGTTAAAAAACGACCGAAAGGTTTGCACGGTCGTAAGCAAGCAAGCAAGCACGCAAGCAAGCAAGCAAGCACGCAAGCAAGCGAACTTAATATAAAGGACTTAAAAACCAGATTTTTCCAGCGGCAGGCATCGGGTTTTTTCTTTAATACAATTAAACCCGATTTCGGGGAATTAAAACCTGGTTTAATGAATACGAAACTCTGATCCAAGGCTTAGGTTACTTCCTCGTTGGTGCTGCTATCGTACTCGGGGGGCCGTCGGGCACGGGGTAGTCGTAGAATGCGGCGGGCAGGTTGGTCGTGATGAACACGAGCTTCTCCTCCACAATCGTGGGCGCCAGTGAGTTCCTTAGCTTGGAATGGATGAAGCCCATCGTTGAGAAGTTGGCGAAGTGCGGTTCTGCAATTAGAACCAATTAAACCGGATTTCTCCAAATCTCAGATGATCGGGTTTAATATAAAAAGACAATTAAACCCGATTGTAAAAAACCCGACTGTGCCACCCTTGGTGCCAGCAGGTCGGCAGGGGAATTGGGGGTTGTGGAGAGAATTCTGGCAGAAGGAAGTGATCATGGAACCTCCTTTGCCAGTACCAAAATCTGAGAATCGGTTTTCCCATTTTTTTTCTGGCAACAAAACATGTTAAGATGTTAAAACACCAAACTGAAACCTTTTACAAGGAATCATGTCTGAATTAACAACAATACTTGTGATCAGAATGCAAACAAAAAAACGTACTCTGATAATATATGCTTTGTCTTTGAAACTCTGGTCTAACACCGTTTTGAGACTAGGCTCAAAAGAAAGCTGTCTCTGGTGTGGACCAATCAGTTCCAAAGATAATGCATATATGATCAGAGTATGTTTTTTGTTTGCATTCTGATCACAAGTAGTGAGGTTAATGCAGACATGATTCCTTGTAAAAGGTTTCAGTTTGGTGTTTTAACATCTTAACACCTGTTTTGTTGCCAGAAACAAGGGGAAAACCTATTCTTGAAGGAAGTGATGTTGCGGCTTACAATATTGCCAACATGTAACCATTATGGTTATTCGAGAAATATGGATATCGACTGAAAGAACCAAGAAGATGAATCCCTGCAGTCACTAAAGCTTTAAATCGAAAAATATCCAGGTTAATTACGTGACTCTAGCTATTAATAAGATGAAGTGTGCCTCGGCAGGCATACATTTCTCAAAGAATGACGACAGTGGCAGCCAAGGCAGATAGTGTCTCTGATGAGGATATGGTGCGATGAAATCAGCTCGTGTCAAAGTGCTAGGTGCATTTTTATATTACAGGAATGTGGGAGATGGCAGCAGCTTAGACGTGGCTAATGATGATTATGAACAAGAGCATGGGAGATTTATTTCATGAAGTTATTGTGGGACACAATTGTAATTGACCCCAGGTTTGACTGCCACCCACTTTCTCTCCATCCTGACCCTGACCACCACCTCTCCCTCCCCTAAGGCCACGGAGAAACTCGTGGAGCTCTTGTCCCTGACGGAAGCTGCCGCTCAAGGGGTGCAGAGCCTCTCGGAGCAGTGCTCACAGAATGCTCGCTTTATTCGCGCTTGGGTTCTGTTCATCCGCAGTGGCCGCGGCATCCAGGTGCCCAACCCCATGGGGTTGGAAGAGGAGATGGAAGAGGAGGGGGACCCAGCACAATAAATACAAGAGCACCATGTGCTTTACACATTTGGTTTTCGTGCCATTCTTATCGCAGCACAAAAGCTGTCATGAAGGTGCTTTGTTTCACATAGTCTGCAGTAGTTTTGCAGTTGGGGGCGATGTTGCTTTGTGTTTTCCCATTTAAATTATTTGTAAGCAAGTTTGAACCCGTGATGTTGGCACTCATGGCCATGCACTGTCACAGAATATGTAATATCCACTGTGAAGCAGATGGTGTGTATTTACACCCGCAGTATTAGTCAAGGCGGCCACGGGGCTTGGACTGTGAACATCTGCAACAAGTGGTAAAACACGCTATTGCTTGGCCGTGTAATTTTCCATTGATTTGGAGTATTATGGGTAAAAGTATATATTCTTTCCATATAAAATGTTTTAATCCATCAGACTATTGGCTTTTCAAACCCATATCCAGCAGCGTTTGTTTACGTTTTGACATCCTTGGTCTTAGCAATAGGCTTGCTAAACATGCTGATGTGTTTCGGGCAGCAATAATGGTCTTCTCCATATTCATCAGCGCTTAAAACAGGGTCACAATTAGCCTGCCTTTACTCATTTACCCATGTTCTTTGTTCAGATGCAAATTAAGTCGTTACACATTGCACAAGCTACATGCCATACAGAACACTCATTCCAAATAGGTTATAGAGCTTGTGCATGAATGTGTGTATATGTGTGATGTAAATAATATCATAAGTGCTCGCGAACCGCACTTGCCCCAACAGTCTGTTATGGCTATATGGGGGATTTTTGATGTAAATAACAATGTCCTTTAAATTAAGAGCTGCGATTGGTTTATACCAACCACCAAGCACATTCAGCATTGAACGTTTGTATTTAGAGGAGTTTGGTAAACACGTTAAGGTAACGTTTGTATTGAGAGGTGGCTTGTGGTAGTTTGCGAAGAGCTCGAGTCTGGGAAACCCAGACTTAAACGATGTCCAGTTATTTGTAATCGCAGCAACAAATATAAATAAGTACAGTTTGCTATGTTCATATGGTATTGGAATGCCCTCATTTTCTCATTGTCTTAATAGTCCGATTTCCGTTAGCTTCCTGTGGCGTTGACTCCCTGTGCCTGTTAAGTCAGGGCTCAAGGCTTTTCTATTCACCTCCACCTAAAAGTGCCCACTTAAATTCTCTCTCTAAATAAATATGCCAACTTATTTCTGCACAGCGTCTTCTTGATATTGTGGTCACGTTTAAATGCTTGCTGTAGGAATACTTATCCAATTGAAGGTGAGCCTTTTTTAAATGTTTTCGAATATGTACGCAGTAATTATGCTGTTGTCCTAACAGTTGTATAATGTTTTACACGGTGGAAGCTGAATTAAAAGGTCAAGACTCGTTGACCAATCGTTGGTTCCAAGCACAAATTTAAAACCTTAATTTAGAGTTACGTTTCAAGTTAGGAGTTATTTACACTTCTTTAACGGTTCTTGGTGATGTTGAAAAATGCATTTGTAAGTACCGTTTTGAATTGTTAATTAAACACAATCAGCTTGATGTTTGTGTGGTATTTATGGAGTTGTAATTCTTTACACGTTCGTAATCTCACGACAGTATTATCCAGATGAGCAATTATTTAATGATCTGCTCTCTTGCCCCTCTTCGTTGTTAATTGCTTTGTTTCAATACCCTCACCGCAAGGCAACGGGTCTCCAGGAATCCAGTCTACGTCTGTTATCGCTCGATAATCGATAGATCAATCCCACGCGGGGACTAAACGGGTATAAACACATTCCTGCGGAGGGAGCTGGTAGGAACGTTGGGTTGCTCGGTCAATGGCCAGGGTCAACGGCGGCGTGGTGTATTCCGCAAATATGCCCGACTGTGAGGGCGGGCACAAGCCGACGTGAGTAGGTTAAACGTTGAGTTTTATAAGGGCACCACGGGGTGACCAGCCCCTCCCCACCCAGCCCCTCACCCTCCCCACCTAGCCCACCACTCTCCCCACCCAGTCCCTCCCCACCCAGCCCCACTCCTCCCACCCTCCCCACCCTCCCCTCTCCACCCAGCCCCTCCCTACCCAGCCCCACTCCTCCCACCACCCAGCCCCACTCTCCCCACCCAGTCCCTCCCCACTCCCCATCCAGCCCCACTCCTCCCACCCTCCCCTCTCCAACCAGCCCCTCCCTTACCAGCCCCACTCCTCCCACCCTCCCCTCTCCACCCAGCCCCTCCCTTACCAGCCCCACTCCTCCCACCCAGTCCCACCCTCCCCACCCAGTCCCACCCCACTCTCCCGGCCGCTCCCCACCCAGCCCCTCCCAGCCCCTCCCCACCCAGCCCCTCCCTGCACGACGGACGGACACAATAATCCCCTGTGGGCTGGTGGAACCAGTGGGTTCCTACCAGTAAAAGTGCTTCGTATGGTTGTGCATTGCTTTCGAATGACTCTGAAACGCGGTAGTTTTAGTTCTTATTTCTCTGTTGTGTTTGGTCTGATTCTTATCGGGTTTTTACCCCCTCTAATTTCTATTTGGTTCATTGTTCTACTTTGGATTTAATTTTTTACCTTGTTGCTTTTGTCATTTTGGTGACACAGGCCGGTCACTCTTGCAGACAATTCGTGAATTTGTTGTTGTTGAGTTCGCGCCAATTGATTTAAAACATAAATAAACCCTTCTTGGTTCTTTCGGTAAAGTCACGTAGAAGGGAAGTGACTTTACCGAAAGAACCAAGAAGATGAATCCCTGCAGTCACGAAAGCTTTTAATCGAAAAATAAATAAACCCTTACACCAGAGACAGCTGGTAACATGACGTCATTTTTACCACAACGCCCCGAGCGTCACGGCCATTTAACTCAGCCCGGTACATGACGTCATCCCGCGCGGGAAGTTCCCTAGGAAGTGACGTCATACACCCCCTCTTATAACTGCGCTCATTGGCTCAGCGCTTGGGCTGCGGCAGCACGTGACCGCGTCTCGACCAATCGGCGCGCGCTCGGGACCGGGCAGCAGCAGCAGCAGCGGCGAGTGGCGGCGCGGGGTGGCCGAGCAGGCGACATGAACCTGCGCGGGCTCTTCCAGGACTTCAACCCCAGGTGCCTACGACCCTCCTCCCGCATTCCTCTCACGCCAGAGGACGCCGCCGTCAGTCATCATCATCACCACCATCACCCCCTCGGCCTACCTCGTCGTTGTTGCCGGGCCCCGGTTGTGTGTGAGAGTGGGCGAGCGGTGGCGCAGTGGTTGGCGCAATGCGATACGGGAAGTGGATTTTATTCAACATCAATTGCGACGATCTTAATCCCCTTATGAAGCTTTCCCGTAAGTTCACCCAGTCTCGTGCGAGTGAGTTCACATGGCGCGGTGTGTACATATCAGCACCGGGGAGATAAAGGCGGCCGGGCGTGATGCTGGTCACATCAGCCCTTCAATGCGACGTGACGGCCTTAATGGGTGCTCTCTAACAGCAAGAGCGCTTGGACAGGACACGGTAGGTGGAAGGAGTGACGGCCGATGATCAAGAATGATAACGCAGTAGGAGCGAAGGTCGGCACGCTTCCCAGAGACTTGCCTATAGGAGGAGATGGAGCGATGAAATCAGCTCGCGTGCAGGTGCTGGGGTTGATTGTTACAAAGCAGCAGGTTGTAATATTACGACAGCTTTGTGAGGCCTACATCCACCAGTGGCTTGATCGTCGTGGCTTATGACGACGAACAGTCGTGGTATTTGTGTTTATAAAGGGGGTGATGGGGTTGTGTTTGTGTGTTGACGGTGGTGATAATCTTGAGGCGGAATGTGAAGGATCTTAATTTGGTTTAGCTGGTTGGGTACAGAGTGTGCAGTAGTGTAACAGTGAGCGATGGTGTAGTGCCATAGTTTTAATTGGCACTATTAACATGAGTAATATCATGACAAATACCACACTACAGTACCAAATCAATAATACCACCGGCACCATCACCCTTAATGTGAATTTGACCACTGCTGGAAATCACTGATACCATCATCATCACTTAATACTCTCACCATTAACATCACTTAAATCATAATGATTACTAATATCGTCACCAATGCTCACCATTATATGACTAATACCATCACGATGACCATTTCCCATATCACCACCATGACTCATTCTTAAGTGCCACTACTATCATCGACAATGATTAAGACCCTCGCTACCAATATCATGAGAATTACGCATACCATCACCATAAACATCACAATTACTATACTCTTACGACTAACGTCCTATTTTCTCCATCACGAATACAGTACTGTACGACGATATCGTCACTTCGTGTTTGGTAAAATTTGCAGTATCCAGAGAGCCTGTACCACTTTATTAGAACACAACAGTGGCTGTTGGTACGTTAAATTATGTGGGGTGGTCCCTGGTATAGGAACGTGACATTTCCAGTAACTGCAAAAGACTACCAAAGACAATTTGCACATAAAAAAAACAATCAGGACTTTTACTTAACAATAATAGAGATGAATAATCGATTTCGATTGGTTTAATCTCTGTTAAAGAATATTCAACATTCGTTATGACTTAACACCACTTATCCAAGTGAAATCGTGGTAAGCCAACGTTTCGGATACTGACCCTTTTTCAGAGCACAGTTTAAATCGGATTGAAAGTGATTGAGCAAAGTGTGTCTCTGTTAACACATCTCACGTTCTCGGTAATGGGCTATGACAGGACTGGAACTGCCTTCCCCCCCTGCCATTCGTGCTATTGACGTACTGCGTATTTATTTCTACACATTACAATACAGCATCTTGAGATACGGTTGCATTTTTTATTTATCCAACTCCAAATTGTATGTGTAAAGTGAATCATGTGGCGTTATGGCAGCACCTCACCACATCACCTGGGTGTAGGTAAAGTTACATGGTTATGATGTAAGTCTTTAATTACGTTATTGTATCTTACATCTATGTTTATGCTCTCTTAAAATGCATTGTTTGCTTGTATTATCTTTATTTGACTTCTGTAGCCATCTTGAGCAGGTCAATATCATAACAGAGCCCTGTTAAAAGAAACTCTCCGACTCGTAATTAGTCAATACAGCAAAGTGAGGCTAAGTTATTTGGGTGGGGCAGCCACTCCAGGCCTCGCAGTCCACCCCACCATGGCAGATATTCTCATAAGGGGTGGACAATATGGCGAGAATGACGCAGAGGCGTAGTGTAGTTGGCATAGGCGCTAGTGCAAGGAATTAAATTGGGCCCCCTGTTTAATTCCCCCCCCCCCCTATTTGTATCCCAGTGCTTGTGCCCCTCCTCCTACCCATGGGTCCCGGGTACAGTTGCACCGCCTGCACATTCGCGAACTGTGCCAAGTGGCGTGATACGACGTGGGTTGATCGATGCAGCTCGACGTGACAATCTCGGTGCTTTTGTGCTGTTGTATTGCTGATGAGTGGTTTGTGTCGTGTGCCCTTCGCAGCAAGTTCCTGGTGTACTGCTGCCTGCTGCTCTTCTCCGTGCTCCTTGCTTTGCGGCTTGATAATGTCATCGAGTGGAGCTACTGGGCCGTGTTCATCCCGTTGTGGCTGTGGAAGCTGCTCGTGCTTGCCGGGGCCACCAGTGGCCTGGTCGTATGGGTTCGCAACCCCCAGTACAGGTGAGACCAGGGTGTTAGTGAGGGTATGTAATTGTGTGTGAGGAGCGTGGCAGAGTGGTTGGCGCTCTGTACTACAAACCCAAAGACCCAAGTGGTGATTTCTGAACCGGTCTTGGGTCTCCCGAAGGTCGACTTAGCCTAAAATAAGTACCTTGGGGTGATGTGTAGTGAGACAAAGGTTGCTGGGCATAATGCTGGCCACCTACCACCTCGTGTGCCGTGCCAGCCTTCACAGGTGCTCCAAAATAGCACTTGCCCAAAAAGTCGGAAGGTTTTACAGGGATATTTATCTTTGTAATGCACGGTACAGTTGAAAACAGGGTATCGGTGTGGATATTTAACTCGCAGTACAGATGATTTGTTGTTAGTATGGGTACGGGGGTTGATGTTACTGTGCCAGTGTGGTTGCTCCTTCATTTGCCAACCACAAAATGACATACACAAACATCTCAGAAATGCACGTCACATTAAAGTAAGGTGTTCATCAGTTTTTATTAAAAATAATTCCATTTGTTATATTTTAAACACTTATGTAGACGTTTCAGCTTACTTTACATACGAGAGCAGCATCTTCATTCTATTGATCTTACCTGTTGCTGTTTTTTCCCCATTTCCTCCATTCTCGTTGTCCTCCCTATCAACATGCCCCCCTGTTTTGCTTCACACCCCCCCCACCCACACCATTCTCATCATGTCCTTCCTCTCCCATCATTGTTCCCATATCGCATCGCGTTCCCCCACTCTCGCCGTGTCCCAGGACGGAGGGCGAGGCGTTTGTGGAGTTCAAGGCGATGCTGATCACCGTAGGGCTACACCTGCTGCTGCTCATGTTCCAGGTGCTCGTGTGTGACCGCATCGAGTCACACGGCTACCTCTGGCTGCTTGTCTTCATGCCGCTCTTCTTCATCTCGCCTGTCTCCGTCGCCGCGTGCATCTGGGGCTTCCGCCATGACCGCTCGCTCGAGGTAATTGGCGGCGGCGGTGGTGATTGCACTCGTGTGGCTCAATGAAACCCGTGTGTTGGGCTGTGAGGTGGAGACTCGGCTGCTCTATTCTGCCTTGTCGTCTTAGTGATTAAATCATTCCTTGAGTTTCCAGTCCCGGTGCTTTGTTACTTAAAGTGCACCCGTGACCATCCGTGTTGTCCTTTGTCAGCCAAATATAGTGTAGATGTACGGCCCTTTATGAATCCACTGCTGGATGAGGGCCTTCCCATGCTTTTGTGGGTCATGAGGGTTAGTTGATCATACTTCACCACACTGCTCAACACTTAGTGAAGGTGGAGGGAATCAGATGCAGGATCATACAAGGACAGGACAGCAATGTGTTTTGCTGCATGGCGTTTTCAGGTTTCTTTGGTCACAAGCCAGATATATCTTGCTTAATGACCATCATTGTGCTTAAATGAGACATAAAAACAAATGATATCAACAGTGGGAGTGGGCCAACGGGGAAGGCTTGACCATGTCATAAATGCGCAAGTTATCTCTTTACCACAGCTGGAGACGTTGTGCTCAGGTCAACATCCTGCAGTTCATCTTCATCGCCCTGCGACTGGACAGCATCATATCGTGGCCCTGGATGGTGAGTTGTTTTGCAAGCATGTAGCCCCTGGCAGCTGTTAACATGTTCTTTTTTACCTCTGGACACAACACACACCCTACCATGAATCATACTTAAGGCTTTTAACCATATGACTCACAACTCACGTCATAATGTGTTTTGGCTATTTCCAGTCGTAATTCTAATACATATCGGAATCCATATCAACCGTGGTCTGTATAGTGTTCCACTATTGTATCTAAAGCTGCCGATTCATTATAAAAATGCATAGGCCACACTAGTGGGTGAAGTAACATTTGATAAACATTCCAAATTGTATTGTAATGTGCACTATCGGGAAAACCCACTGTGCCTCTAACGGGAAGAGTCTGCATGTCTTGAGGGCATTATTGTAATGGTAGGTAAGCGTACAATCTTGCTGACTGGGTTTTACATCTTAGGCATGCACAATGTCAAAAACAGACATTTAGTTGAAATGCAGTATTACCTCAAGTTGATGTAGAATTTGTAATTAAAAAACCTTCATTGAAAATTGGAAAATATCCTAACACTGCCGATGGAGCCACAGCAAGGCCTGAGAGCCACACCACTGATGCAACACGGATATTAACCCATCTTTGTCTGCCGCTTCCATGAGTAACTGATGCACATACGACCAGGCGATTTTTTTGGCCTTAATTCTCGCTAACAGTATTTTCGCATACAGTCTCGAAGCCTAAGACAGGCAGACATAGGATCATTCTGTTGGTGAGATGGTGTTTGTTGGAGCCCCTGTTTCCTGTGTGTGCAGGTGGTTTGCGTGCCTCTGTGGATCCTCATGTCATTCCTGTGCCTCGTGGTGCTCTACTACATCGTGTGGTCCCTTCTCTTCTTACGCTCGCTCGAGGTCATGGCTGAGCAGCGCCGCAGCCACGTCACCATGGCCGTCACGTGGATGACCATTGTGGTGCCGCTCCTTGCATTTGAGGTGCGCCGGCCTGGCCTCGCACAACCACGGTCCACTCGAGCCAACTCAGACCCTTAGCCGCACATCAAACCACGGCACCGACCTGCACACTAACCCCCCATAGCCAACTAAACATGTGCACACCAACTCGTACACTGTCCACAACACGAGGCCATACTAACCCACAACCTATACATTTGCATTCTAACTTAAATCCAAATATTTACTTGCATACCCAGCCATGCTTACCAACACACACACACCCATTCACTCTTTAAACCGACTACTCATTCACCCACTTATCGGCCAACCTGCTCATACGCCCATCCACCCACTCTTCATCCCTTGATGCCCATTGTGATGTTAAACTGTTAATTATAATTTTTCGAATCTGAGCAAATTAATTCTCACTAAAGCAGCAATTGATGTTCCAAATTGTGCTGTCCACTCCATAATGATTTAATCGTGAGCACTTAACGAATTTACACCGGATTCGTGTCATTCATCTTAATGTCAGAGCACGAGCGAGTGATTAACCGGTTGTGAGATGTTACAAAATCACAGTGGACTCTTAAAGACTACAAAGTTGTCTTCTGTTCCTTCTCTACAGGTGCTGTTGGTGCACAAGGTAGATGGCAACTCCTCACTCTCCTACGTCCACATCTTCATCCCGCTCTGGCTGTCTCTCCTCACGCTCATGATCAGCACCATTGGCCAGAAAGGAGGGAATCACTGTAAGTGGCAGGGCTTTAGCCCCGAGGGTGGTGCGTAGGATATGCTGATGAAATGCTACACAGAGGCATGATCACACAGTTAAAATATGTGCTTACAAGGGAAGGGCCATTTGTGGGTGCCACGGTGGTGATGTTATGTTATCTGCCTCGCCTGGAAAACCGGAGATCGAGGGTACGAACCTGTATATTTGGAGTATGCATGTCGCGTGGATTTTTCTCCAGGTCCTCCGGTTTTTTCCTCCACATTTAGAAACATGCGTTTAGAGTATTTGGCTGCTATAAATGTCCACAAGCCACTGTTTTGCGCTATCATTTGTGGCCAGGTCGATTATGAAAAAGAGCTATATAGCCGAGTGGGCCTTACCTAGTAAAATTAATAAAAATAGCTTAGTTTCTATAGTTTATTTAATCTGCATCTTCCGTGAACATGGTCTCTTCCACCACCCCTGACCCTTTCCTGGCTGTGCACCCAGGGTGGTTCGGAATCCGTAAGGATTTCTGCCAGTTCTTGCTGGAGCTGCTGCCTCCGCTGCGCGAGTACGGGAACATCGCGTACGAGAGCGAGCGCGACACGAGCGATGGAGGAGGCTCGCTTGCCGACGACCCGGAGGACCCGCCGCTGTACGAGACGCACAAGATCCCGCCCATCTTCAGCAAGAAGATGGGGGGAGTGGTGACCCAGAGCCCCGGCAAGTACCTGGCACCCCCACCCAAGCTGTGCATCGATCTGCCTGACTGATCGAGTGGCGCGTCCAGCAGCAGGGACGTACGTAACGCAGTTGTGTCATCGCCAGCCCCAGTAAGACACGGACTAAATGTGTTTGTGGCCCTGCCAAAACTGATTCGCAACTGCGTTGGAGCTTTTGTTTCGTTGGTTTTTATGAAATGTTTAAGGTAGACTGTCATTTTACATGGTGAGCAAGATTAACTTGTGGTCTGTTCCTTAAAAGGGATCTTAGGTTAAGCCTGTTAAGAGGTCAACATGTGAATATATGTTTTGTTAAAATCTTAGTCGCTGCGATTTGGAAGTGCGTTCTCAACCAAAAGAGAAGTGTGCTGGGGCCAGAGTAGAGATCTTCAGGTGTAGTTTTGTTATTAAATCGACTGAGATTGCACATAAGTCGGTAAGCCTATAAATCAGTGTTCTGCCCCCATGTACATAATGGCCAACTAAAAGGAACGTGCAACTGGCATTTGCCAAAAGCAAACACTGAGATGTTTGTGCCACCGTTTTTTTTTGTTGTAACAAATTTGAAGGTCTACACTTAGTTACAGTACCAGCCATTGGTGCTTTTAAATTACCAATCCAACGTTTGCGTGTATAACGCTGCAGCCAATATTATGTTGAACCGCGCACTTTACATTGTATAAACTCGGTTTGCAAAATGGACATCACCTCCCCACTCGCCCAGTTCTACGGCCCCTGGTTAAGAGGTTGACAATAGACGGACGTGGAGCTTACCAGTGCGACCTAAACAACGTGCATTCTTTAAAGAAGGTTCATGTTACCATGCCTTCTCTGAACGTGGAGCCAACGTTCAATAACACTCGTTAGCGTGCTTAAAGTTTTCAACCTCTGAATGTTGAGTAAAATTAAATCGCCAATTGCTCTGTTTTTTCACGGGTTTAAAGCGTTTCTTGGCATAAGCATGAGTAAATATGTACAGTAGTTACCAAACATCAATTTACTCAAGGTATATTATTTGTATAAACATTGTAAAGTAAATTCTATCAACCCACCCAATAGTGACCCATTCTGGTGCAGATCAAGTAATGGGCAAATCTAAGAATTAAAAACTAACCCCACCATGGCATAAGCGCCACGTGGTGTTGCAAGGCAGGGTGGCACACACTTTTGAATTATTTAGATTGTGTACAAAACGTATGTATTCTGGAAATTGTAAATGTTATTTATTGTGCATTTAACGTTGCTTTGATACAGCCTTATTTTTTCCAATGTAATTTTTTTAAAGTGTGTAACCTGATTTTTTTTAATGTTAAAGTTCACTGCTTTGTTTTGTAGTTGACAGTAAAAAGGCCTAATTTTAAGTGGAATTTTGAACAGTTAATGTTATACTTCAGAATTCCACTGTATTGTAAATATTGTTCTGTAACAGCCATTTTCAAGACTAATATTTGATCATTTTGGTAAATGCTGAACAAAAAACTCCCATTACATTTAATAATAAGTAATTAACACGTGGTATGTGAATATATGGGACATGGTGCAGAATCAAAATAATGCAACGGCCAACTTGTATGTTAAATTCCTCTCGGCGTGGGTAGTAAAAGCAGAAAAAGATACAGCAGAGGTTGTTGGTCTCTTAAAGCTTCCTGTAACCATTGAAACTCGGCCAGAGGTCACTTGAGTTATTGTTTTTCTCCAACAGCACCTTTTGATTTGAATATTACATCCAAAATTACTCCAGCTACCATACTGGAGACTCTGCATGCATTCATGTTGGCCCTAACGTTGCACTAATTCGTGCGAGATACTTATTGCTAATGAGGTGCAAAATAAGCAACTTTAAATTAAATCCATGACACATCCATAATTTGAATGTTTAATGCGAATAAACTACAAATTTTGTTTAATATGCATACAGTGTAAACCAGTTAAGCTTACAAATGTTGCATATAAATGTCGGTGTTTTAAATTTTTGTTTGCAATGTGTGGTTGTACCTCAAGATGCCAAATAAATTAGCGTGTCCCCCCCCCTCAAAGACTGTTTACGTTGTTTCTACTATACTGGGTTCTACAGATAAGCGAGTGCTGGTGCATTAACGCCTGTCAATCAATATCACTTTAAAAAGGATGTCCATTGAAAGTAAAATAGAATTTTCTAAGTCACTTTTAAGTTGATGCTGTCAAATTATTTAAAAGAGAGGAACCTTTAAACTGTGGAAATATGAACAAGCAGTAAGTAAGTAAAAAAAATCCAGAATATCACCTTTGTCAATGTCAGCTCTAAACAGTGTGGAGCACTGCAAATATTTAGAGGCACCCACCCACAATACTGCACACGTGCCCACTTGTACAGAATGTCAGTTCCCAGAAGTGGTGAATTCTTATGACCTAATTTGTTTTGAAATAATTCTCAGAAATCATTACTGCAATTTCATGCACATTTTACAATGAAAAGTTGGCCATCCTTTTTTAGTCAATTACAGCAAACAGTCACTTATTAAAATTGTATATCTCTAAAATATTGACAGATCAAACGAAATAGTAAAATGTGAAAAAAATACATAAATGGTATTGCTACAAAACATCAGCAAACTTATGTAACATTCACAGTTGTATAAAAAATAAAACAGACTTGTGCCCTCTAACTCAGAGGGGTCCCGATACTACATATTACAAATACCATTATCTGCATTAATTTAATTACAATTATTTCCATACATCCACAGGTAAACAACACAAATTATATTCGTGTTACTTAAATAGTGGAATATAAGTCCTTATGCTTGGCAGAACTGTTGCATAGACAGTCCAATTAATTATGGGCCAAGATCATTTTGTCTGAAATAAGATACAAACGTTTTAGGACATGTCAGCACCCACAGTAGTAATGGGAATCTACTATGGATGTTAAGCCATGCAGAGAAGTCTTACAAAGCCAGCTCCAATTCCCTTCCTATACCTATCAGTTACCCATGTCCAAGTCTCCCACAATGCACCCAATGTTCTTTTTCTAAGCAGGGTTCAGCCTAGGCAGTACTCTGGTGTGTGACGGCCATGCACACACTGCTATAGGCTGCAGGGCTGCGGTGGGAATTAGAATGAAGTGCAGCAAAATCCACTTGCACCACTTCTATGCTCCTTAATTTAAATCGACACTGACCAGTGTGGTGAAGTATGGTTGTATAACATCCACAACCAGAACAGCATGGGAAGGCCCTCATCCAGCAGTGGATTGAGAACTGTACACATACACTTATCGGCTACTCCTGTGGGTGCTGCCAGGATGTGCAAAGATAAAGGATTGTTGCAGACCATGGCAACACCTACGGGGCTCCCACCCACCTGCCCAAGTAATGAGCCGAGGCCTGACAAAAGAGGGGATTCCATCTGCACCATATATTAGGCAAGAGGAAGGTCACAGGGGAAGCCCCCCATTGTCATGTATCAGAAGATAATGGCTTCCTGGTGGTTACAGATATATATTGTATACAGTGTTCACATTGCCGTGAAAAGAGAGGCACGAGAGAGCCCCATTCACACTCCGACAGGTATAGGAGGGGGATTGGGAGGCCGTTCTCAACAGACTTCTCTGCATGGTCTATAGTTGATACGAAGAGAAGATACCGATAAGTTACCACTGTTTTGCTATGACCTATACACATCCTTTACGTAATTACAAAGTTTTATAATAAGTCATTTGTCAATCCAAGCAGGACTTTCAAAATAAAAAGAATCCAAGATTCCCTGAGGTAACAGTTTTATAGTTATCATTATACATTGGCAAAACTTTGCCTTTTTCTAGTTAAAACTAGATTTCTGTACTTGATGTGAAATATGCGCTGATATGCCATGCCAATCTGATGCCGGTGAAGTGTGGGAATATTCACTGTGACGATGTAAACTTAATGCAGTGGCTGTCGCCGTCTTAGGCTCAACGATCACGGATTGGAATCCCCTGGGCCGAGTAGCGATTCAGCTGCACGCACACGCAGTGAAGACAGAACGGGAGGAACGTGTGCCATTGTTAGGATTGCCACTTGAAATGGCTTTTGCAGGAAGTAGCTGTCCTAGAAAATTTGAGAATCTTCCCAGAGAAAATCCTTCACAAGATATGATGCCGTTATTTTATACCTCAGAAATGGCAACCCCAGCGGCTGTATGCTAAGTGGGGAAATGAGATTCAGGTGAGTGAGTCACATGGGCACTAAAGCAGGCTCCGGCGTGGGAGGTCAGAGGGGAGGGCCGCTTACCTGCTGAGTGGCAGCGGTGGCGCGGTTCTCTGCCTGTGCCAACCTTTTCTGTAACCGCTCCACCTTCTCCTGGCTCTCAGCCTGCAGCTGCTGGCTCTGGGGGGGGGGGGGGGGGCAAGGGGTGACAATATCATTACTTCCACATTCCTAATTCGTGCACGTGTGTATTCATCCAACGATTCTGTTGAGTCAATTATGTGCCCACTGAAACTACGTCTGCTTTAATAAGGAAGACCTGTGAAAGTAAAATGATGTAATTTATTTACACAGCAGGATGAAGGAATTCCTCATTCAGCAGTCAATTGACTAAAGGGCTTTACATGTACATACACTACACATTAACTCACCTCAACCAAATCCATGCGGGCAGCTTCCAGCAGAGCGGTAAGCTCCTGTGCGTGTTGCTTGTGCCGGCTCAGCTCCGCTCTGCCGCACACACAAATATAACAACACGATTATTTTTATGATTTATATGCCAGGGGTGGGGAACCTTTTCCTTATCGAGGGCCAAATAGGACTCTGAAATCCCTTTGGTGAGCCACACATTTACACTTGTGAACATTATCCAATAATCATGGCCAAAATAATGTCCGCATAAGCACAAACAAGTCCTTGCAGTGACAGAATTGAGCAAAAAAATAAAATGTTTCCAGGCCAAAAATATCCCCTTCTGGTGCAAGTTTCGTGTGGCTAAGATGCAGTGATGAATAAGTAACGTTTGTGGGCCATTTCAAAGTGGGAGGCCTCATGTGGCTACGGGCCATATGAAATTAATTCACAGGCTCTATTTGTCCCAAGAGGGGTCCATAGGTTCCCCACCCCTGCCTTTTGCATTGGTTTGATACAAATCTATTTTTGATACATAAAATTGCTTCAAACATACTTTTGCCTCTGTGCTGTCCACTGGCAAAGATAAACTGACTTTTCAGCCAATGCAAGAATTTCTTCTTTTGAGGATATCGTCAACATTGCCATTGCCTAACAGTGAACCAGAAACGCAAACCAGCAGCCATGGCACAAAGCATTACCAATAAGAGTTGAGCAGCAGTGCGCATCTGGTGGCATGTTAAGACGCGCGCTGCTGCCACCAGACGAACCGCGTGTCGGCTCGTGTCCCCACCCACAGAGCGCCACTCACCCAAGCTTGGCGACTTTCCTCTGTGCAGCGGCTGTGGCATTGCGCGCCTCCTCACGGAAGCGCGTGGTGAGACTTTGCTGCGCCCCCAACATACGGTGCAGCTCCTCGACAGACGCATGCCCCGCCAACTGCAGCTCCTTCAGCCGTGCCTCCAGCGCCACCTCCTGTGCCTTGCTGTCGTGTTGCATGCGCCACACCTGCCACGCCAGAATGCTATCAATACCGCATCATCAACGCTTAAGATTTTTATCACATCTCCCATACAGCACATCTCTGTGTCAGCTGCCTCTGTGAGACACAAGGTTAATGAGACAAAAATGCTGCACCGGCCAACATATGGGCAATCGTCTGCCAGTTTGAGGCGATGTTGCTATGTGGATTTCCAATGAAGTAACTGGTGGGTAAATGATTAAATTTGGCAGTCAGACTGAACTATGCCCCTGACACTCCCCCGACTCATTAGAAAGTAACATGGGATATTTAACATCCAGTGTAATAAAAACGGCATATATCATATAGTTAATACAACCGCAACATTAACCAAGGCTGTCCGTGGACCCGAACCACAAACCTCAGCAACGAGCGACAATACCAATGAGCCAAGTTATCACCAGGACCTTCATTGCACATCCCTGCTAGCACGCAATGGTTAATATCCAGAACAGATCACATATCGTACAAGGATGCAATACCCGATACACATATACATCACAGCGATACGCCCCGCTGCTCCTGACGCAGTTATCTTGCTTGACAACCTGAATATGAAATTGTAGTTTCTTTGCATCTACATCAGCCATACGAAAGAAGAGTTCGGTTAACATCCGGAGCTGGGCCGAGCACCTCTTTGCGTGCGGCTCGCGTCGCCTCCTGGCCCTCGCGGCGCATCTCCTCCGCATGCCGCCGCAGCTCGTCGCCCTGCCGCTGTGCTGCCAGCAGCTGCTCGCCGGCATCTTGGCACTCGGCCCGCGCTGCCTCCAGCTGTGAACGCAGAGTCTGCGCGTCCGCCCTCGCACGCGACCGCTCCTCCTCCAGCCTGAGCCACCGCCGCCACCACCATGCAGACGGTCAATTGAAATGACGTGAGACAACATGAAAACACGATGCAACAAGACAGAATGCAGTGCATCTTTACAGAACAGCATGACATGACAAATTAACAAGATACACAATACAAATATTGAACAGGAAATGGCATGACATACGACACAACCTGAAATGAAAACATGACATACCATGCCATACTCCAACACAGTGTAACAAAGATACAATACTGCAAAAAATTACAACCAAACGTAAGAAGACATGAAAACACAAATAACACAACATGCAGAAAAATAGTACTGTGTTCAGTGTCTGTTGAGACATTTGTGTAATGGCAACTGTGTTGCAGTAGTTTGTGCCCTGTGCTACAATCACAACATTTTGGCTTTGATTCCAGATTGTCAATAACATTAGTGGAAAGTGCTGCAGAATTTGTCCTGAACCTAATTTCCGAACTCGACTAAACCTTAAATGAGTCCCTGGCAGTGTGTGAATATTAGCACTGGGGGTAAAAAAGACAGCTGGGCACAGTGCTGAATACTTCACATCCTGGAGTGCCGTGCCAGCCTGAAGATGTCATTGCCCTAGCAGTCTGTATGGCTAAACAGATTATCGGTCTTTGTGTGTGCGTGTGTATACAAGCATGCTTGTGTTTGATGGTTAGCGACAGAGCTTAACTTCATATTTCCGCACTTGGCACACCACATCCAATATACCTTTACCTATGACTGTGCCTACTATTCGCGTACCAACTCCAGTCTACCAGCGACTTGGAAAATGACCATTGACGAACGAAGCCCTGGTTAGCGCCCACTCAACTGCATTTCGGCAGCTCGAAGCCTCGCCTGCGTGGCCTGCAGGCTGAGCACCATCTCGTCACGGGCTCTCTCTGCCACCAGACAGCGCTGAAGAAGCACGTCCGACTTGCGCTGCTCTCCCTCGGTCCCGTGGCCCTCCCGGTAGAGCTGACAAATGGAATTAAAAAAAGCCTTGTTCCTTAAAACGTCCCTCACATGTATTAATCAATAGACCCCTAAAACAGGTAAGAGCTCACTGAGATTACATGATGCACAAAAGAAGACCTGGTCCAGGTATAATGGTGATAGATCTAAATTCAGTGACGTAGAGACGGGATTGGTGGCTCAAATTAAACACTTATTGTAAGATAATTGGTTAGGGTGCCTGCATGAGGTGATCTGGCAAACAGTTTTGTAACAGGTTCTCTGCAGATTGAAGTTTGAGTGTTGTGGCCTTCAGTCGCTCATTGCCATCAATCATCACTCTCTGGGCAGACTGGTGAATCGTAGAAACTAAACACAATTCAAATAGTGAATGCATTGTAAGTGGTAAACACATTAAAAAACTCACAATGATTCATCATTAATATTTCCCTGTAACAAAAAAACATGTAATAGGCTAACATTTACAACAATGGTTATTATTTTTAATAAGCAGCCTGTTTTGCTTTCAGGCAATCATTGACTTTAATTTACCCCAATGTGAGTATATGAGTGAGATTCATAAGATGATGAATCAGCAGTCTTGTAATGTGTTTTGGCATGTTGCGCTGCGCTATAAATTATCATTACTATTAGAATGCATTAATATAATCTGACTTCACATGCTACTTTGCACCTGTTACTTATGATGGTCAAACCAACACAATTACCGCACCCTCTCCAGCTCATCTTCGGCTGCCCTCTTCTCCCTGATGGCCCGATCCATCAGGTTCTGCTTGTCACTGCACTCCTGGTGGACACAGAGGGGCGTGCGTCACAAACAACGGGAGCGAGCTGCCGCGTTGACCCTGCCCTGAATGAAACAGGACTCCGTGTAACGCAGATCGATATCCTACAGCAGTGGTTCACATTTTCTATGTCACCATCGCTGGAGTCGCAATAATAATTATAATTTAGAAAGCGTCTAAATGTAGACATGATGTCTCCATACAGAATTATCATTGCATTTCTATGCTATATAAATTCAAACTATTGTTATGAAGGGGAGTGACACCGACTAGGACAACCTCTACCCTTAGTTAAATCATGATTGCCTCTGCTGTCCCACAGCAGAGCAGCGGTTGCTATTTTCAGTGTCACTATAGTCGCCTTGTTCACCGGCGCCACAACATAAACAACTATCTGAATTTATGTAACGTATAAATTAAACTAACATATCTCAGGATGCTTCAATGAAATATATTTAGAGAAGTAGCAGAGTGGAGGGCTGAGGACAGAGTTTAATGGGAGAGAAGACAGAGCAGAGTTTGTGACGCATGCCCCTCTATGTCCACCAGGAGAGACAGAGCAACAACACGGCACATCCTGGGTTAAAGCAACTGAGGCCCAACACCAAAACGAGCCCCAGGGACAACCGGGGTCAGCCAGGACTGCACCAACGAGTCCCAGAGTCGAAGCCTAAATACCAATACCCAAAGCATCAGAACTGCTGCAGCCAGCCATAAGACCTACCATCTGCAGGTTGGACAGCTCCGCGACCAAATGTGAAATCTGTACGTTGCACTGCTTCTTCACGTTCTCCACCTGCCCGGCCACAAAACGAGATCGAAGATACATGTGGGTTACATTTACGTCCACTCGGCGTCGCGACACGACTTTAACGAGTCAGGCATACCTGTGCCTGGCTGTTAAATCCCATCAGTCTGTGGCCTTAATGGCCGACTCTTCAGCCGCCTCATCGGATGTCTCTCTATTTTGGGCTGCTGTAGGCATGTCCATTATCAGGAGCCTCGTTTCTCTACACACAGTGTTTTTCCCATGAATTGCTGAGAATGTCCAGGGTGAATAAAGTGGCCTCATTCTTGTTTGTGCCAAAATTATTTCAATACCGGTCCCTCAGCCATGTTGTGTCCACTGTAACGCTCAACCGTGAAGTCAAAGAGGGTCCAGCCCTGGCTCGGAGGTGTGCACCTCTTTGCGGGTCCTGACAGCCGCCTCCTGTACCAGCTGTGCCATGGCCTCCTTCAGTCTCTCCAGCTCCTCGTCCTTCTGCCGCTCACACAGGAGTGCCTGCAGCCAACGGCAAAAAACTGTCGACCATCATACATGCGACATCCCCTACTTACAGCGTGTCTTCCATGTCACGGGCACTGCAGAATCACCCTCGCGTGTGTCTAACACTGGGATGCAGCCATGTCAAAGAGATCTAGTACAATGTCTATGGTATACATTCACGGGATCTAGCATGACCTTATAACATACCTTTAGCATCGTATTAAATAAAGGGAGTGATAAGTCACCATTTGCGAGTAAAAATATATTATTGCTATTGTAGCTCTTCCAGACCCAACAACTGGATTAGTGTAGAGTATAACAGGGTAGCAGTCTAGAATTAAGGAGAGAAAATTATTAGAATATATGTTTTACTCACGCTAAAGATGCATAAACCAGAGCGCTCGGAGAAATGTAATAACACGAAAACATATGCACAGACAGGTAAAAAGCATACTTGCTGTTCCACCTCCTACAAGTCACTGCATAGCTGTGCAGTTTGGGGTCTGTGACCCAACAACTGTATGTCCAAGTTACCGGATCAGAGACGAGCATCATCAGCACCATGTCCGGAAGACAAAGGCACACTGCCTGCATTCCTACTTTTTGGCAAACAGCAAAGCTTCGCAGTGCAACTGGCTCACCTGGTCCTTGATCAGCGTAGCCTCATCGAGGAGCTGCAGACCCTCACTTGCCCTTCGCATTGCCTGGAAACGTTCTTCCTCCAGCTGGGCTGCTCGGAGTGCGGCCTCCCCCAGCTGTGCCTGCAGGGCGTCACGCTCCCTGCGCAGCGAGTCACCATCCTGTGCCGCCAACCGTAGCCTGTATCGATATCATCGATACCATCATAGCAGTCATCACTGACACCAACACCATCGTCACCACCGCCATTACTATCATCATCACCACCACCGCCGTCATTATGGTCATCACCACCACCACCACCACCACAGCGACTAGGAAGCCAGAGAGGAGCAGAGAGTTGACCAAGGGGTGAGATATCATCATCAGCTGCCACACTCTACCTATGAAGGCCTCCCCAAGGCATCACCATCCCTCACATTCCCATGATTCAACAACCCCTCTAGCTTCTGCACGAGCTGATGTCATGACTCCACCACCATGCATGCTTAGACTTCCACTCCACCATCAGTCACGAAAAATGGGCACTATCCCTTCTCGTGACATGTCCTGCCAAGCCCACTTTCATAACAAAACAGCCAATATGATTTTGACCAATCTTCACATGTTTTGTAATTCTTGTGTTATTCTTTCTGTCTCACAGCATATGAGTCAAGGGGAGGGGGGTTGTTTGACCATACCTCACCATGCTCGTCAATGTTGGTTGATAAAGGATGGGTAGCTCAGGACAGGTTTACATATAACTCGCGAATGATGATAGCCGTGACCTGGAATTAAACACAGCTCGCAAGCTACAAAACCAAGTGTGCTAACAGCTGCACGCACCACTACTCCATCTTGGATGTTAATACATTAGGATGTAATATTTCTTAAAATGTAATCTATCAAACCAAAAATATGCATTGGAACGATATGAAGTTATATTGCCTGGTGGTATGCAATTGAAAAGGGTTGCAGTGAATTTGGCCCAATAAATCACGTTTATAGACATGACAGATGAGAATGGATTACCCGTGTAAAAATGTCACTGGGCATTTTTTTTTTCGCACTCTCTCGTGAGGTTTGTGAAGAACACAGTAACATCATTTAATCAGTTGTCTGCCCACACACTGTAGCTTTAAGAGCATTATTTCTGTAGTTTTTATTTTCACATTTGCAATTGAATGCAAGCAATGCTGACAATGTACATGGTCATTTAAGAATAGAGAGCATACATTTTTCTTCTTGGTTCTTTCGGTAAAGTCACGTAGAAAGAAAATAATAAAATAATAAAAATAAAACATTATAAAATAATTCTCACGACGTTTCGGCCACAACGCAAGCAGCCGTCTTCAGGTGGAGAACAGGTCTTCAGGTGGAGAACAGGTCTTCAGGTGGAGAACAGGTCTGTCGACAGACCTGTGCTCCACCTGAAGACGGCTGCTTGCGTTGTGGGCGAAACGTCGTGAGAATTATTTTATTATGTTTTATTTTTATTATTTTCATTCTACGTGACTTTACCGAAAGAACCAAGAAGATGAATCCCTGCAGTCATGAAAGCTTTAAATCGAAGTGTACATTTTATTAAATATAATCCGTGTGCATTACGTACAGCGATTCCTTTTGTTGCCTATGACCAAATCACCTGGAACACGACGAATCCCATCAGATATCGGCAGCTAAGCCAAGCATAAAGCATGTGTTGTAAGCTAACCGAGGGGCTACGTTATCAGCAGAGGGCAGTGCAGAAAAACCATTGATGTTCTTGATTCGAAACTGCCAAGTCTACGCTTCCCGTCTTTACCAACACAAACTGATCAGTATGGTGAAGTATTGTCAAATTGCCCCCACAACCGGCACGGCGTGGGGAGACTCTCCCACAGCAGTGCCTCGACAAAAGGGCTGTACATATATAGTAACGTACAGCTCGGATTGTGTGTCTGTGCTTGCTTTGCTTTATAGTGACATTACAGAGGGAGAGAGGGGGAGAGGCCATACCTGGCATCCAGCTGCGTCACTGTCTTGCGCATCTGCTGCGAGCGCCGCTCGGTCGCCTGTTCTTGCCCCCGCATGGCCGTGTCCTCCTCCTCCTGCGGCACCGCGTGGGTATGAACATTAACATGGGTGCCACGGTGGCGTGATGTTAACTACCTTGCCTGGTATGCAGGTGGTCGTGAGTTCTATCCCAACCCCGGCACCTGTATATTTGGAGTTTGCATGTTCTCCCGGTGGTCACATGGATTTTTCTGCAAGTCCTCTGGTTTTTCCCTCCACATTTAGAAACATGCGTTTACTATTTGGCTGCTATACATTTCCACGTGATAAGCCACTTCACTGGGCAATCATTTGTGACCAGGTCGCTACTGAAAAAGATCTATACAGCTCAGTGGGCCTTACCCCCAAACTCCCTGTCTACCCAGCAAATTAATTGTTTGATTCAGGGTAGGAATTCGAATCAACGGTTGATTCTGTTTTGTCTTATTTCAATGCTCTTATTTATACTGCTTAGAATTTTTTAAATAAAAATTAGAAGAGAAATGTCAGAAAGTTAAAGAAAATTTTACCAAAGAGTACAAATAAGATGGTCAAAATAAAAAATTCAAACAGCCTAAATGTAACACGAGCATAATAATTGCATAGCATTTGCAGAAACCATTAATACCAGATTTTTCATGTTCACAATGAGTTGCATTGGTCGTGAGCACAAAAACAGATTTCATTTAATTAATCAAGTTATTGTTGCATGACTTGTGAACATCATCACTCAGACCCATGAATAACCAGTATCTTGGTCGCATACCGCATCATCCCTACTCAGCAGACTGATCTCACAAAGAGCAGCAGAGCCAGTTGGGACAGCTGTAGAAAAATGATTCCAACAGCTACAGACTACCCTTTGCTCTTATTTACACTGGTGTCTGATCTCCCTGCCTATTTCACAACAATTAAATGGTGACGGCTCCTACATAAGTCATGAGCAACATTGATGAGTAAATCGCCCTCCCAAGATCTATACCTATGGTAAAATTCGAATATACGCTAGAGTCTAGACCAGGGGTCGGCAACCTATGGCTCCGGAGCCGCATGCGGCTCTTTACGGGCTGCTTCTTGACGATGAGTACGTATGTACTCAGATGCATTGCGGCTCTTGAAATACTGAATTTTGTACCGAATTGGAAAGAAATGGCTCTTCTTGTTATTTTGGTTGCCGACCCCTGGTCTAGACTATTACTACAGAGCCATTTTTAAATGTTTACCCAAGAACAAGTAGATTAATTTTATTATGCTGACAACCCAGCTTGGGATCTCTGGCCAATAACTTTTTTGTTAATGTTTGCTTGGGTGAGGAAACTGGGAAGCCCAGTAATAAGACCACATATATGGGGGAATGACAATTACCATGTGGATTCTAAACCATAAAAATTCCACCACATGCCAAGATGCTATACAAACTTTGGGAAGTTGTGCATATATAGAGAATTTTAAGAGGGTTTTAATTGAGGAGAGGAAGTTAGAGACCAGAGAGGGAGTTGGAATTACATTATCGTGGAAGTGCAGTTAAGACACCTCATTTAAAAAAAAAACTGTAAATAATAGGCAGCCTGCTTTTAAAGCAAGGAAATTCCAGATAATCGAGGTAGAATTAGCTGAAAAACGCACAAACATAAAGGTTGCTGTTTGACAACAACAAAAATCCAGGCAAAAACACTGAGGCTCACTGAGGATTCACAGATGAATAATAAACCTTATTATGTTTATTATAACAGTAGTAATACTATGTACGTACACTGCAATGTTACGTACACTGCTTAATGGAAGTTTTGTTATCTGGTACTTATTCTGCCTGACCTACTGCACTGCCAACTTCCTTTCTCTGAACAAGTCCAGGCTGAACACTCCTCTCCTCCACTGACTACGAGTGTCTCACTCGGTGAAGCATCTTTATTCTCGCCTTTACCCTCGTTGGCTTTCCATCTTATCCCTGTAGCCTACTATCTCCTCCACCTCCCATCTTGAAACATGTTCCACTTACTATAGCTCCCAAATGCATATGGACCCCCTGTTGGAATATAATTTGAGATGGGGTCGCATTCAGACACGTTAAAAACCCATATATGCCAGGAGAAAGTCCATGCCTGTCATCCGGCACAGTGCGACTCCAAGTCCACTGGTCTGAGGTGGCCAGGAGATGGCAGTACAGCAAATTAGTGTGTGAGCCTGTAGTTATTTAATGTATGGGTTTTCTTTGGGAACTCCAGTTTCCGATCCCATTAAAAAATATAAAATAGCGTTTGTCAAAAATTCTAATGTGAATGCGTCTTTGAACTCGTGGAGGTTTTCCTAAATTATTGAATGTCAAAATATGTTTTGGAAATTGTATGGTGTGGTTACATTGTGAGCAGCAGATGGCAGTGCACCTAAATCAATCGTTGTACTGTACAATGTCTATGCTCCCCCCCCCACCTTCACCAACCTGTACTGATCAGCATGGTGAACATGATCAAATAGCCCCTACATCCAATAGTGGATTGACAAAAAAGGGATATACGTGCATGTATGGATTAGTTGTACCGTGTATGTAAGAAACAAGCATTGCATGACTGTACTGACTTTCTTCAGCAGCTCCTCGCGAAGACTCTGCATTGCCCTGCCCAGCTCCTCAGACTTAGCATCGGACGTGCGCAGCTCCATCTTGGCCTGCCTACACATGTGGGTGATACAGAGTGGGCACCATAAAAGGGCAGTGGTGGTGATGGCATTGGGTACGGCACATCGGAGCCTTAGGGCTGTCTTCCAATCCACCGTCTCTGACATCTCCATCGAATTTTACTTTACAGATTATACACCACTGATGTGCAAACGTGAATGTAAATATGTCTGAAGCAAATGAAAACACAAACAAAAGCAATTACTCTGACTGAATTTCACATGAATTGAATTATTGTACTGTGTTCAAATGTATGACCATTGTTACAACTTACATATTTTTTGTTTCTCTACATTAATTTACTTTTTCAAATGAATGCCTTAGATAAATGTTCATGGAATAAAAGTGACGCATAGCAGTGTGACACAGGTTACAGTGGGAGACGGGGTTGTGCACTGAAGCAGAATGCAGCACAGCAGGACAAGACAAGACAAACGGGGCGAAGCTATAAAAGGTGGGCCGAGGCAGGATGGTGTACAAGAGGGTGGAAGGGTGCAACACAGCAGGGTGGATAGAGAGAATGCATCGGAGTAGGGTGAGCATGAAGCAGGATGAAGCAAAACAGAGTGGAGCGAGGCCAGATGCAGCACGCCAGAGTCGACCATACCGGAGCTGAATGCGCAGCTGATTCAGCTCCACGTTTTGGTCCCCGAGTGTTTTCGCCAGCTGCTGGTTGCTCTGCAATGACACAGTACAGTCACCCAAAATTAGATATTCCCCGTTACATTTCAAAGATATTCGTCAAACAAAGTTATTGAAAACCAACATGCCCGTCGGTGACTTGTGTTTTTCTCACCGCTTCTAGCCTCTGTTTAGCGACTTGCAGCTGCTGGGAAAACTGCTGCACCTCTGTCAGATGCTCCTGCAGGAGGACACACACAGACAGGGCTTGTTGTTCGTTTTAAGGAAGACATGTGTCAGCAGCAAGACTGCATCATAAATATTGCACAGCAGCAGCATCAGCGGATAGAATCAGGGTGCCAAAAGTTTTACATCATAAACCTTGACCTTTAAACTTTTATTATTTCCAACTATTTTTCCCTTGTGGAAAATGCTGCTCAAAGGAATACTGTGCAGCCCATCAAACACTGCCCATATCCTTTACTACTTTTAATAATGGAAAATACCTGAAAGATATCATCAGAATGATATACTTCAAGTGAGCCATGAGTACTCTGGAAAAGTGTTTAAATTCATTAGAAAATCAAAACTCTAGCCTCGGGCTCCCAAAAGTCATATGGGCTTAACTTTCAAATCCTCTTCCCAATTTTAGACTTCCCTTCGGGCCTTAATTATGTATTTAAGCTCTTGCATAAGCCCCTGTGACAAACCTAAGTTATGTCTGGGTGTCGATGTATTCGTAAGTGTTCACTGGAGAACAGGGTATTGAATATGTAAAGGGGAAAGCGTAACTTTGATCATGGTAATCCAAATCCTGAGCTTAACACCAGACAAAAACCTGGGCTGGAGATTTTTTAAGGGGTCGCAATAGAAATGTATGGACAGCACGCTCGAAAACGTGTAAAAGAGTATCAGTGGGGAACAAATGTTGGCGATAATGTACCAACAGTACTTCAGCAACATAAAGAAAACAAAGAGAACACAAAGTTTCTTTACAACATAGTCGTCTCAATAGGTTCTCACAAGATAAAGAGAACAGAAGTGAACTCTGATCCTTTGTAAACATACCAATGCGTGTTGTTCACTGGTTGTTTACTAACCTAGGAGGTGGGTATGTATGTGTTGCCAGAGTGAAAGAGACCTAACCTTGATTAAAGGTAGGTTCTTCAACTATATTTTCCAGCAGGCTATATAATAATGTGACACTATGCATGTGTTCTGGAGGGCCACATGACAACATAGGTCAAGTGGACAAATGTTATGTCACATGACGTTATGTGTACTTCTTATCTCAAAGTCTCTTATCTGTCTCTCGCTTGTTTACTCTCTTTCATCATACAATTCGTTATATCTTTCCTACAGCTTGCCTGTTTATCACCCTCTCTCCGTCATCTCACTAATTTTTCTCTCTTTGTTCTGGCACGCCATGTCTGTCAGCGGACCATAGCTTGGTAGACCACTCCAAGGGCCTGTTGAAAAACCCGGTATCAAAGCCATTATTTATAAGCATATGTTTTACAATGCACATGAGCACGTGACATTAGATTGCTTAATGTCTATATGTTGCAGCTGAAGTGCAGACTAGACTAAAGGAAGTTAATAACAGTGGCTGCAGCTGCTGGTGGTTCTGTTGCCAGCTCCCGGACAGCGAGAGGAGGAACCTTGTAGTGTTGCCGCTCCTGCAGGTGTAGCTGAGCGTCGCCCACGTGCTCCTGGTAGAGCTCATTCAGTTGCTCCAGCTCCTCCGTGGTTATGCGCCACATCTGAAGCGCCTGCTCCTTCTCCTGCCGAGCGCAGCGGTGGTCATGGGGTAGGTGCGAGGGAGGGAAGTACATGTAAGCCAAAGGCATTTAATGATTATTATACAACTGTATTAGCGGTGACGCAGTGGTTAGCGTGCTGCGCGATGAACCCAAAGACTGAGCTAAATTCCTAGTTACGGCTAACATCAGTGGCAATTGATATCCGAATCAGTACTGGCTACCTCCTGCAGAACACCTGCAGTGATCAGTGTGGTGAAGTATGGTCAAATATTCCCCATGACCTACATAGTGTGCAGAGGGTCTCATTCTTATTGAATTGCAACAATTAATTGAATCATGGACAGGATGAATCATAACAGGCCTACCAATGCCCCATGTGCCAAGTGGAAAGTGTTCCAATGCGCAGTGGCAATCAAGCAGGAGCGATTGCGCACAGCATGGACTAACACACACAAGATGCTCACACACAAACACACAGCGACAAAGATTGTGTTTATCCACATAAAGTCGCTGTATTTGTACACAACAGGGTTTGTGCAAGAATGCGTCGTCATGCATGCTGTTCTCACCTGATTGGCTAACTGGACCTGCTCCTGCAGGTTTCTGGCCATGTCCTCTTCTGTAAGGTCAGAAGTGAGCACACCCAGACTTGTGGCCGCACCATCCAGCTGTGTTTCAACACTTCTTCCTCAGCTCCGCATGCAGCCTATAGAGAAGATAAACAAGGAAGAAAATCATGCATGTATATGGATTTTGTATCACTTTCTAAGATGCATTTGTCCTCGCAAGTATTTAATTAGCTCAAATAATGATCTCTCTCAGACCATGCATGCAAGAAACAATACATCCGCAGGCTACGATGATACAACAGGTCCCAGAGGGTATGAATAACCCTTTTGATAAATTTCCTGGTTTTCCCTAGGATACGTCTCTAATAGCAACACAACTTTATAGGAGCCTTTTGTTCATGATGGTTTATCTTTACGACCGTTACCGTGCTTCCTCCTTACAGACAGATGGATACAGACAGACAGCTATAATGCATTAACGATGTCAACCTTGGTTTGGAGAGCGTAAGGAAATTTAAAATTAGACCTCCTTAAACTTCGTGTCCAGAGTAACCATCTATTGTACATTGTGCTATGGTGGTCTCATACATCAAAACTAAAATACAGTTTGCACTCAAGAAGAAGGTGATTTTACATATGCCGAAAGTAACCTGGATGCATTCGGTTCGCAAAATGATTGGCTGAACAGTTACTGTTTAGGTGAATTAGAATCACCGTCATATTTTTACATTTTATAAACAAGTTGTCCCACCTCTCGTTTTCCACCACCACTCTATCCATCTTGAGCTTCATCTCGCCCATCAGGCTCTGAGACAGGAGAGGCACACATTTGAAAAGAGACCCTCTCTTATCGTACACAACAGCACTGGTGCGGGTCTCTAGTAAGAGCCGACCCACGGTTGCAGGCTTTAGAGGAGCTGCCCACAAAAGGCATTTCAAGGGTCCTCTCACATTAGTGACACCAAGACTATGTGGGGGCGATATGGCCACAAAAAGTGTTTTTGCTGCCGGCTCAAACATTCAAAATAAGCGTCAAGGCGGTCATGCTTCACTGGGCTGACAACAATAAGCCTCAAAGAAAACAGCACAAAGTTATATAAAATAATAAATCAAAGCAGCCAAAATATAGTGGTTTTGGCAGGAGCCACTAGGTTTTATACCCGGTGTACTTAAAGCCATACATACATTTATTCGCACGCAAGTCCTGATAACAGTACTGCAAAGAATTAGCATTAAATATAAACAAAGATTAGCTGCATAATGTAATGTGGAGTGGGCTCAGCAACGAAGTGTGGTTACTTCACGAGCTTTTAAAATAGTGAAGATTTTATGAGACATGCTTTGACGATGTGACGGAACAATGAGCACATTCGCCAATCGATCTGCCATGAACACCTTCCGCTGCAAGCTAAATGCTATGGCGTATCTAAGCACCGCTCCATTATTTTCTCCCCCCCCCCAAAACAGCGCTAACTTTAAACCACAGAGTGCTCTATGAGCCAATAAAATGCATTATATACTTGCACATTACACACACAACCATCAGGGCAATATGCAGTAAATTACAGTTTCCCCAGCAGTCTCAGCAGCCAAGTAACTGCAAATAGGAGCAGCAGGTGAGGGCACAGCCAGGCACACCTCTAAGTTGGCAACATTGGAGCTGTCAATATTTTTTATTGATTCTTAGGTGGCCTGGTGACTGTTTCTAATGCCAAGTCAAAGCAATGAGCTGGCATTGCTGAGATGCAAGATTCAAATCAAGTTTCGAATCAAGGTTAAATCTATCCATGATTAAACCGGGTTCTCACGTGTAACAAGGTTATGGTCTCATCATATATACAAACAGATAAAGAATATGGAACAAAATCTGAAAAGTGCACAAAGAAGCACGAAGAGATGCATCAACATCACACTGACTGTCAAGAAAAATAAATGCTCTTAGGCAGGAAGCATGGCTAAAAAGGGATGATGGGCAATGATTGAGAGTGAGGAAAGTGGCAGCTAAAGGAGGGAATGAGTCCAAGAGGATAACTTCCATGAGATGCAGGGATGAGATAAACTCATATAGTGAAGCTGGATCGTTGCATTATGACACCATGAAAGGCAAAAACTTGGATAGGCCACCATTCAACAGTGGCTGATTTATTACAATGTATTAAATATTTTTTTATTTATTACACGGCTTAAGAATAAACTATTTATAAAGACGTTGCATGCTGTTTGTTGATATAAAACAAATATGTTGCCGTGTTAGAAGACAGGTCTTGTGCTGTGAGTTTGATGCAGGATGGGTCCATTGCCACCCACCTGGTAGTTGCGGAGCTGCCCTTCCATTTCCTCCAAGTGGCGGTCGTATTCGGCCATGAGGGGTGCGAGCAGGCTGTCGTGAGAAGTACAAATATTTTGGCTCAAACGGACGGTCAACAAACTGTGCAATGAATTGCCACACTGACCAAGCCTGGGAATTACTGTTTGCTTCTTCGCCTTCTGAAATTTGCCGTTAATGCTCAAACCGGCCGCGAATGTGTAAATATGCTCACCTTTTGTCCGTCAGCCATGGGGCTGGTGGGTCCCCCTCACCAAAGACTCCTGCCTGGACAACCATGTTGAAATTTGTGTTTATTTATTCAGCTTTATCAACAGAGCAAATGTATATTAGGTGCTGGTTCAGGTGCTGGAGGTTAAGTTCATAAATACATTCAAAAAGCAGATTACAAAAATCACGTTGAAAAAATTACACTGCCCAGTCTGCAACTGGATGCACGGACAGTCAGTCAGGAGCACCTTTCAAGCAGGTATGATATTTCATGCTTTGACATTTGTTTTCTTACTCTAATTACATACAGTAATAGTGAATACAGCTGCTTATCAACAAATTAGCTCTCAGATTAAATTACAGGGTGTTTCAAAACGATGGACCCAATTTCAAAGCAGTATATTTCACGATGGCAACATGTTACAATTACACAAAAAGTCACAAACGGTTGAATGAGTTATCAAGTTTTACTAACCATTTTATAAATGCTCTATGTGCCCTCCACCTGTTGTACGGACAACATTGAGACTATAATTGAATTCGTCCCAAACGCCTCTCAAAGTGTCTTCTTCCACTGAAGTCACCGCTGCCGTCATTCTGTTTTTGATGTCATCCAGATTAGTCGCTAATGGCGGCACAAAATAACGGTCTTTGACGAATCCCTACAAGAAAAAGTCGCAGGGTGTGATGTCTGGGGATCTTGGGGGCCATTGTAGCGCCAAGTCTTGGGGTCTCGTGCGACCTATCCAATGTTGAGGCAGTGTGTCTTGCGAATGACTGAGGCTAGGGGCTGTTAGTGCGCTGAGAGAGGCATCTAGCGGTAATCATTTAAAACTCTATGCCCCGCCCTCTCTATACCCGCCCTTTCAAGTGGTAAGAGTTTCATTCATGGGCGGTTCGTGGTTGCAGAGATATAGCGATTTCAAATCGGGTCCTATCTTTTTGAAACACCCTGTATAATGGGTTAGTTACATCGTGTTGTGTGCTAGTATTTTAGATGAACACATACTAAATATGCACTGCCTGTGCAAACTATGTGTGAAATAAATTAAGCCTATAGACTGAGAAAAGTGTATTTATTCGCTCGAGTGAGCAGCCAGCATGTGGAAACTTGCAGCACGTACCGGTGTGGAGGCAGGTGGGGCCAAGTACTTGACCTGGTACCGATTGAGAACTGTGTTGAGCCGTTGCACTGGACACGAGACCACCGCATCACATTTAGTTATTCGTATAATTCTGGATCTGCCTCATGCAAGAGCCACACACAGTCTCTTATTGGGCTCCCAAAATAAAGAACTATTACTGTTTAGCACGACATATAGGCATTTGTAGGAACAATTGCACCAGCTGTCCCTTGTGCATATATGCAAGCCTTCTCCATGGGTTTACCCTGGGTTGAATGATAATGCTGTAATGCAAATGCATTGTATATTGGGTGGCACAGCGGATAGTACACTGCACCAGAGGTCGCAAACGGGTTGTGATTCCTTACCCGTACCCGGCCGCACCAGGGTCGCAAACGGGTACCCGTACCCGTACCCACCCGATACCCGACTACCCGTACCCGGCCGGGTATCGGGTAGGGTACGGGTATCTGATGGCGACCTCTGGGATGAAGCCAGGTTGCAGGCGCGGGTGGGTTGATTCTAGGAACTTGAATTGCGAGAAGAGACAAGACGTTGGGAAATGAGTGACAAACGGTGACTCACCAGTGACTCACGGCCTACCCGTACCCGGCCGCACCAGGGTCGTAAATGGGTACCCGTACCCGGCCGGGTACGGGTAGCCGGGTATCGGGTAGGGTACGGGTATCGGGTACCCGGTTGCGACCTCTGCACTGCACTGAACACGGAAACCTTGAGTTTGATTCCTCACGGGTAGCATCAGTGGCAAGTGATGTATGAACCGGTCCTGGGGTTCCCCCTTTACCAATCGGCAATAATCATCGTGGTGACATATGGTCAACAGCTCTCATGACCGGCAGTGTGGACAGGCCTTTATTAATCAGTGGATTAACAAATGGCTGTAATTTATTATTGTCGCTTGTGTAAACCACACGCAGCCTCAATGGGTTCTCACATTGGCTCAATCAAGAATTTGATGAACACCAGACCACTGATGACGATTGCTTGTGTTGCAGTCGAAACGTCGTGAAAATTTTATTGTTTAATATTAGCATTATTTTATTATTTCCCTCGTGAAAATTGTATTGTTTTATATTTGCATTATTTTATTATTTCCCTTCTACGTGACTTTACCGAAAGAACCAATAATATCTATAATAGTTGTTATAATAATGATGGATGTGGAAGGGAAATCTCGCGACGCCGTGAGAATTTTATTGTTTTATATTTGCATTATTTTATTATTTCCCTTCTACGTGACTTATAACCGAAAGAACCAAGAATATCTATAATAGTTGTTGTTATAATAATGATGATGATGGATGTGCAAGGGAAATCGCGTGACGCCGCTTGCGTCGCCATGGCAACACGGCTGCTCACCCTGCTGCCTCAGGAACGCCGCCTCCTCCGCGCTCATCGCTCGCGATCCGTGGATTCACTGCCAAACGGCAAATCATATCGACGACAAATCACGAGCCATCGACGGTGTACACGTGGACGTTCACATTGAGGGTGTTAACTTCACGTGCAAACCGCGACTACCGGTGGGTGCGGCCTGGTGTCAATTGACTCACTCCCGTCTCGACTAACGACGCAAATAAAACAATCGAACAGAGGACAAATTACGGAGAGAGAACCCGACGGCTGGAAATTATTTCCTTAAAAAAAGAAAACAATTTACGCTTAACAATAAAATACCGATAGCAACACCGGTACCCCCTCACGTAAAACTATTTACGCTGAACAACAAAAATACCGAAAGCAACACTAGCATCCCCTCACGTAAACGTCTCCCTCACGTAAAACCATTTACGCTTAACAACAAAAATACCGATAGCAACACTGGCACCCCCTCACGTAAACGTCCCCTTCACTTAAAACTACTTACGCTTAACAACAACAACAACAAAAAATACCGAAAGCCACACCGGCATCGCCTCACGTAAGCGTCTCTCCCGCTTCAATTCACCGCTCGAGTAGCCCCGCCCCGCGAGCTCGCGGACCAATGGGAGCGCGGCGCGCCGGGCTCAAGCGGGCACGCGGCGACCAATCGGACGGCCGCGATTTGAGTGACGCGCGGCGCCGACTTCCGGGTGCCGTCCCCCCCCCCGCCCGCCACGTGGGTGGAGCCGCCGCTGCCGCCGCCACGTGGGCGGAGCGGCCGCCGCTGCCACCGCGCGTATAAAAATACAGCAGGGGGGTGAGCCTGGAGCGAGGAAGTTAATTGTTGGACGATTTCCAACGGAAGCAGTTAAGCAGCAAAGTATACGACGACAGATCGCACGCCAAGCTGTCGAGACAACGCGGCGAGGTAATTAGCCTCTGGTTTTTTTTAAAGCGTGCTCTGTTGAAGCGTCCCAGTATTACTGTTATTGTTTCGATTTATATTTTGAAGGTCCATCAATTTGTGTGCGTGACCGGTTACATTGTTCACAACCGTCATGAGCAAAGTAAGGCGCTGAAATGTGCGCGACGAAGCATGAGGATGTTCTTGGAATTAAACTGAGACGGGAAGAGGAACGCATGGATTGAAGTGCATACATCATGGGCAGGACACGGAAGTAGAAGATTGATAGCCGGGGGTCGTGATTTACGACGGAGTGGCAGCCAAAGGAGAGAACACGCACTGTAGGGTTCGTCGATCGAGGAGATTGCTCGCGTGCAGGTGCTCGCTGCATTGTTACGTTGTGGGGTCGTGGGAAATGCCTACGGCTTGAGGCGTTCATCCAGCAGTAGAGGTCTCGTGGACTACTAACCTTATTAGGGGCGCCATGTTAGCGTGATGTCAATTAGTTCGCCTGGTATGTAGGCGAGCCTGGGTTCGATCCCCACCCTGGTTTTTCCATTTAACACATTTAGAATTAGAATCGCGCGTTTAGAGTATTTGGCTGCTATAAATGTTCACATGGCACGCCACTTGCTTGAGCTATCATTTGTGGCCAGGTCGCATCTAACAAATAACTTTATAGTTAAGTGTGCCTTAAGGCTGTGACGGTCCCACCTGATGACGGAGACTTGTGTTGCCTCCGAAACGTTGTGATTTTATTGTTTTATTTTAATTTTTATTTCATTTTTACCTACGTGACTTTACCGAAACAACTAAGAGTATGTGCCTTAAGGACCTGGTAATATAAGAAAAAATTCCCCAGTAGTTTTATAATAATCCCCGCGTATTGTCCTTTATCCCGGCTTCTCGGGGATAATGAGTTTTAAGAGTTTTAAATCCAAACAAGCGCAACGAGGAGGCGTGTGCGTGGGGGTGGGGGATGGAATTCGTCTGTGCAGATCTGTGCGACAAATGACATTGCTCGGTGTACAGTCTTTCTTTGAAACGACTAGCGCAGCACCGGCGTTGGCAATACGCCCACACACACACGCGCGCGCATCGTGTCCATGTCAACACTTTTTAATGGGGACTGTAACGCCTACCTCGCCGTGTTGTGTATTTAAACCTTTAACGGGGAACTTTTACAACGCTCTTCCGCAACTCTGTCTATTTAAACGGGCAACGTCTGCGTCGTAATGTGGTGTAAATGTGTTTGCATTTGCGGTGATTTTAATGACCACGCGTTTGCGATCTGATCTGCATGAAACACCTTTGTCGAGGCGGCGGGGGGGGGTCTTTAATGCGGTGATCCCGCCGCTAGATTAGTCCCTCCCCACGCCGAGGGGTTCTTTGACCATACTTCACCGCCCTGGTTTAATGCGGATTTGTTGAAGGTGGGCGTCGAGCCAGACAATTAGTTGGCTCCGTTGCACTGTGAAGAGGGCTCGGGTTTGGTTTAAAGTATATATGCCCGGTGCTGGAAATAAAATAAAAGCCCAACGAATGCACGATACGCGCGGCTCGTTTGACCGCCTAGACCGAGAACCAGCTGATGAGAATGTTGTCCCTGCTAACAAACACCGGGCTCGATTGCGGTCGTAGTTGAAACCAGGCTGGCGTTGCAACGAATAATTGACTCTGAACGAACCGAGTCATTTGTCAAATGTCACTGCGTCGTGCTATATATAGCGTGAACGAAAATTCCGTCTCCAGTACCTCGTTTGACCAAAGAGCGACTGCTTTTTAGCCCCAAGGGTTAAATCGGTATAGATCAGAACAGTTGGCTACGTGCGGTGCGAAAGAAGTTCAACACACAAGTACATACAAAGTCTTGTATGTAAGAAGCGGTGGTTGGGCATTGTTGATGTCTTTAAGACTGTCGCTGCTGTTGTTTTAGAGAACGACCCCTGTTAGCTGACCTCTGGCGAGATGAGCACTTGTACTGTAGACGTGTTGGAGGAAGACCTCGCCCTGGTCAAGGCAACTCGACGGATCCCAAACAGCGACTGGATGGCGGGGCTGCCTGAAGCTCTCTGGGATATCCCCCTGTGTCACCTCGCCATCCCAGGTAAACGAATCGTTGAGCACGGCAATGACGGTGAGGTTAAAGGTTGCAGTGGGCCCTGCGTTGTGCTTGCTCTCACACTAGCCTGCTTGAGGAAGGTGCCTCCACACGACGGAGGATATGTTGGCCTACTCTTCCACACTGGCCAGACATCTTGGAAGAGGTGGGTGTACCCACCACTTGTAACATCATACCCATTGTGGTGTACAGTATCCATGATATTATTTGTTTATTTTCTCATTTTTACAGGTAGGAGAATTTTTTTGAGTCCGTAACCAAGACTTTTTTTAAAAGTGCGGTAATATGCCTGTCTAAGAATGATTTCAATGCTGATTCAGAAAATGTTTAGAATGGAGGTTCACTTCAAGCCTTATTTAATAAATGTTATGTAAAGTCAGTTGGGGGTTGAAGAAGACACTGTGTGGAGGGAACAGCCCTGTTGCTGAAGCACTCACACCTCCCAGTCTACTCCTGGACTTCATCCTAAAAGTGTGGCTACGTCTGTCGGCAGGCAGCCACGACACCATGACCTTCGACCTGGATGCAACATCGTCACTTGAGCCATCTCAGCCACAGATCTTGCACACGCTCTTGCAAGTGATTCCCTGCATCGCGCGCCCCATCATCTACAGCTACAGCTACACGCAAGTGAGTGCTCGCCGCTTGCCCATGCAAACCGGCTTAGCCAGCCACTCGTGGTCCAATGAACAGCATTTTAAATGTATATCTACATATATAAAAGGGAAATTAGTGAATATGTGTGTCTGTTCAAAATGTTTAGCATACTTCCAGACATGCAACAAACTTGAAATTTGCCATGTGGGTACTTTTCAGACTGTACACCATGAAACAATTATAAAAATAGACTTTTGTATTTTTTGGGGGGAGGGGGGGGCGCAATTATGCATATATTTTGCACGGCAAGTGGGCTGTAACGTCACATCTGTCATGTGACCCGTGTGCGGAAGCGTCGCGCAGTGTGCCTGCTGATGTCACGCACCCCCCCCCCCCCCAACCCTCCGTGGGTAAAGTGCCATACAAATGTGTTGCAGGTCTAAGGCGTTCTTCGCGCAGCATTTCTTTATTATTTCAGTTGTTTACTGCCGTACGCACCCTGAAAGTTGTCTGCAGCAAGCACGTGTATGTGTACCTATGGACGCGCGCATGTGTGGGGAGCTGTAGTGTAGTGCTTAGCACACTGCGCTACGAACCCGGCGACCCGAGTTTGATTCCTGCTCACGGCCACCACCGGTGACGATTATTTGAAACGGTCCTGGGCCTCCCCTAGGTCGACTCAGCCTCAAACGAGTAACTGGAGTGGTGTGTGAACATCGCCACTGGGGAGACAAAGGCGGCCGAGCGTGGTGCTGGCCACCCTCCCCCCTCGTGTGCTGTGCCGGCCTTCATAGGTGCTCGCTAACAGCACTTGCTCCTTACAGTCTCACAGGCTACACGGGGGATCTTTGTCTTTATCCTGTGTCTGGGGGGCAGCGACTGCATAGCGATTTGCGCGCTGCGCTACGAACCCGGCGACCCGAGTTCGATTCCTGCTCACGGCCACCACCGGTGACGATTATTTTAACCGGTCCTGGGCCTCCCCTAGGTCGACTCGGCCTCAAACTAGTAACTGCTGTGGTGTGAACATCGGCACTGGGGAGACAAAGGCGGCGGGGCGTGGTGAATCCAAGTCCTGGGCGAAGCCGGGTAGTAAAGCTAGTCGTATATAAATGCAATTGCTTCTCAAGGCACTTCACAAATGTGAAAAACTACTGTCAACATAGAAAGGATGTGGGGGGGTCGAGGGAGGTAAACGTGGGAGAGGCGAGATGCAGCAATTCCGTGGTACAGCCTGTCACGAAGCAACCAGGGATCCGCACCAGCAACAATGAGCCCCCTTGGACAATGAATGCAGCACTAACGAGTCCCAGAGACAACCAGGGCAGCCAGATATCTGGGGTGAGGGCCCTTCAAAAAGGACCTCCCCAGAGGTTTTTCAGGGGAGGCCGGGTTCCATTCACCAACGAGTCCCAGGGCAGTCGTTGAGTTTGAAGCCTCTCTCCGTGCCGACGGCCTCAGTTTGAGTCCTGGCGCAGCTGCTTAAAGCACGCAGATTCCATCTCCCATTCGTCACCCTCTATAAGTCTAATTACTTGCATTGGCTGACATTCCATTAACAAAGTAATGATAAAGAAAGGCTAATTATCTTCACATTCAAACAAGTGTGAGGAGCCAATCTTCCCCTTTTTTTACGTCCCTGATATATTTTAGAAATTCCACATGTACTCACTGGTCCTCATTCATTTGAGTGGTGTGCACTTATAAAAGCCTGCTTGTTTGCTTGCTTGAAATGAACTTTACCAGTATAATAAATAAATATGTGGGTATGCCGTCTTATTTCAACAACTCCTACATCCTTTGTCTTGTTAGGGTGCGTTAGGTTAGCTGGCTGAAACAAAAGGCATTTCCAAAGTGCTCAAAAGTCTTAAATTCCAACATGCACTTCAGTAATTGCCCATGAAAACGATGTAGAACGTTTCCAATTTTGCCATTTAATTTTGTGGCGTTGCAATGGCATCGCTCGATAGA